CAACTCATTGTAGCACCCAACGGCCTCTACAATTATGGTCGAAAAAAAAGTTTCTAAAATGCATACAAAACGAGAAAAATGCGTTTCAAAAAATTTTTGACGGTTTTTTTGAGTTTTTCAAAAAACGCCTACGAGTTGAACATGCCCATCGCCAAGGTGGCTTACTGACGTCATTTGGCAACAGAAAAAACAAGACTTACCCTTTAGGTTTTTTTTTCACTAAAACGATATTTTTTTCGACAGATTGACTGTACTACGCTTACGGTGCGCAAGCTCTTAAAATAGGCGAAAGACTGCTAATATCCGTAGCCTCTTATTAATAAACGGAGACTAGGCTTGGATTACTTACTCTATGTTTTGTCTCTGTTCATTGATTGGCAAAAGGCATTTGAGAGATATGAACAAAACACGGCGTAACTAAGCTAACCTTATTCCTTTCTTAATATTAACAGTCAATGTATAAAAAAATAAAACAAAAGACTCCGTCAATTTTTCCATTTTTCTTGATATTTCGAATCGTTTTCAGATTCGCAAGACTCTTGGTATTTTAATAAATGATGCAAAATTGTCTAAGGCATGTTTTTTCATATTTATTTATTATATTAAAAGAAATGCATTATAAGCTTAATTGTACAACAGTGTCTCATAAACCAGTATTGGTTTTCCCGGACACTTCGCCATCGAGATCCGCAGGTAGGAGTACTCAATCAACAAATTTAAATTAAACCATTCATTCATCAGTCATTAATCGGTAAGGTAATGTTGTTAATATTTTTTTATATATACCGCACCGCCTTTAATAAAAAGCTAGGTAGCTGTCGGCCAAATTGGACTATTAGAGAAATTTTCGAGAAAAGTAAATAATTACATCCGGTCCGTGTGGATTTTTTTCTAGGAATATTTTCTTTAGATTTAAACATCGAGCAGGTACATGTTTAAAAAAAATATAACTATAATTGCTATTTCATCTTTCAAATGTTTAGTACTTGTAAAGGTATTCATTATTATACTATATATTATTATATTTGACATTATGGGTTTCCTACAATGCGAAGAGACGGCGCTTTGCAGCTTAAGAAAGGCTAAAAAGAATTCGACACGGCCATCAGGGCCGCGGTAGCATAATTGGTCAGTGCATACGCCCGGATAGCGAAGTTGCGGGTTCGAGTCCCGTCTGCTGCCTGGTCCGCGTGGAATTTTTTCTAGTAATATTTTGTGTAGATATCAACATCGAGCAGTTACATGCTTAAAAAATTAAAATTATAAATAATAACATTTTATAAGAAAAAAGTCACAGTGCATTTATATGCACTCATTACATTAAAGCCAGGTAGCGCGACATGCATTGTATTGTAATGGCGACCGCAAGCGCGGCGCGCGTACCCACCAATCCACTTATTTATTGTGTAACAGTTCACTTAACCGCTTTGTGCCTCCGTGTCACCTCGTTCCCGCGCCTTTTGTTTCATAATTACGTGTAGGTAACATTCGAAATAAATGCCCCCCCGTAACTGTAACAATACAACTATATTATACAAACGCAACTAAGCTCTTTTTATGTTATGAATGTGTGTCTTATGATTGTATTATGGGACTCTTATTGGATTCGTTTAAATGTATATACATATCTATATTCTTAATTGAATTAATTATATTATTATGGTTGTAATTCAAGGCTTTCCACTATCTGAAGAGCTTACGTCTCCCCTTTCTTTGCCTTTCTTGTCAGTCCTTGAAAATAACTTTTTTGTATAATTTTTTTAAGTCTGCCTTTGGGGAAGGCCAGGGGAAACGCTAAAAATATTTGACGACTATACAATCTTGCCGGACTTAGCGGACATGAATCAGGGTCAGGCCAGGTTTTTATGAAATTTAGAACGCATATAGTTTATGACCGTGATTGAGACATACGATCAATTTCATTCTGGAAAAGTGTGAGGTTCTTGAGAAATTTCCAAAAAACTGAAGTAAACCACTTATCAAACTTTGACACATAAAGACATGGATCATAGTCACATATAATTGTCTATCAAAAACGGCGCCTAACTATAGTTCACCTATCTATCGTACTTACCGGGATCTTAGTTCGGACCGTGTTCGTATCTCGGTACGTAGTACTCCATTAGTTGAGCAATTCCCTCGGGCGTCCCTTCGGCTAATGGCGTCGCTGGTACATTTTGAGTTAGATAGAATTCCATTCCACGTAACACTAAAGGATACCATCGGCCACGACGGACTCCTCCCTTCGTCCCACCGATTGAATGTTTTATTAACGATATCGATAACGAAATCCGCGTATCCCAATTCAAAACTTGTGAGGGTCTCAGTCTCAGTTTCCATTAAACGATAGAATTTCTAAGGTTTAGATTTAATTTTACACGGACTATTATCATACCAACTTAACGTTAACTATTGTAACGTTGTGCGTTATTAAAGTAAACAATGTTTATGTTTGTCACTGTGTTTGCCTGTTTAATAAACATATAACAATGACAGGACATGAAGAAGATACTTATTGAGTGACTCGATTTTGTATTTCTTTTTGTATGTTAAGTGTTGTGATTAATTTGTCAACTGATTTCGAAAATTTACATCAAATACTTTATGGATAAAAATAAATATTTAGCAGAAAAGTAATTAATTAAACCAAAACATCAGTGGGACTTTGCAACCTAGCGTAGCGAGCATTTATTTTTAATTAAATTTTGTAAATGATGAGTTTATCGTTCTCCATAAGAAGTGCTCAAGAAATTTCATTAATCTCATACTAATAATTGAAATCCCAAAACAAACACAGTTATTTGTAGTGACGTGTTGTGTTATCGACTGAATAATGACAATCTTGAATGTAAAAGAAGTGCAAATGGAATTAAAATATAATTTAATAAATATTTTCAACACTAATACCAATTAGCTCCATAGTAAGCACTGTAAGGTTTGTGTTATGGGATACTAGGGTAACGGATAAAATACATATACTGATTCATATATAAGTATATTTATAGAGAAATACATATTAAACATCCATGAGTGGAGTACAAATGCTCGTATTCATCGCACAAACATCTTCCCCCACCGGGATTCGACCTCTCGAGTCGGTGACTACATGAAACCCGGCGTACAAACCACTCGGCCACGGAGGTCGTTGTCATATCAGTGCCGAAATATTTTTTTATACTAAAACATATCTAAGCCAATACACACTGCTATTCACAGTCATAGCGTAGCGTAAACCTTTGAAGCTTTATACGTAATAAATAACGTGAAATAAACGAACACAATTTAAATACGAGTATATATGGCTGCATCTTATTTCGTTAAACATACATTTTGTCACGTACTTAGCAGTACGTACTTACATAGGTACAGTCGGATACACCCCGCAGCTATTTTCCACGTCGTTGGAACAAGCAATTAGACATGAGCCCAAGAAAGTTGTACATTTTGTAAGTTAATAAAACGGATTTATGCCAGGCCCCATCTGGAATGAACGGCGACAAAGTGAATTCTGATGAAATTACTTCACCAAAGTTTAATGGAGTATAATAATTATGTACTTTACGTTTTTGTTTGACTCTTATATACATGGACGTCTTTATCCCAAATATCATTCGTTGTTTCGTTCGTGGTAGCGCACACGACTGTTTTTTAGGTGACGTAGCTTATCGCTTTAACAACTTTTAGGTTGAATAAAAGATACAGGTAAATAATGAACTTCATTCATTATTTTATCTAAGGTCTTGCATTCTTTGTTGGTGAGGAAACTTGTCACTCATGTGGATTTTATACTATACACTCTTGTTTCACACATATATATGTTGAGTTATTTGGAGTACTGCCTTAAATATATCGAGGAATACAAACAAATCTACGAATAAATATACTCATCAAAAAGTAGACTTTTTAACTATGTTGCTTAGAAGTAATATGTTGTACGGTTGTGAACTTTTGAACGATTTTTACTTTTGTAATATATTTTTATAATATACAATACAATACAATCGAAAAGTGTCTACTTTTAAAATCAGCCAAAATATTGTCGAGAACTTTACAATCAAATATTTGATGCACAAGTACTAAGAATACGGTACTTATATAATTTGTATGTCTATTGCTTATTTTTAAACCTTATACCTAGTTAGCGTTATTGTTCAAACCTCTGTTTCAAACGATTAGAAAGATTGCCATTTCTGTCTAAGCACCCTGTTTTCACTTAGTAAATGTGATTATTTTCCACAACAATTAAATAACAAAAGGAAACTAAGCTATATCTATCTTACAACTAAAAGCAGCAATAAAAGTTGAAGTTTTGTTAATTTAGAAATTCTTCACAAATAAATAAATTAATAAGTAACTCTTGACATACTTTATTTTCAGATTCTACGCATTATGCCTGCCTTTGATAATCTTATCGAATTCCTTTTAAATGTATCCATGAGTGTTTCATTCAAAGATCAAATCCCACCAGGATGGGTACGGTTCCACCAAATTGCACATGGCCATTATTAGAATCATTTGTTTAAGCTCGGTTCAGTCAAGCGTTTTTGAGAAAGGCTTTGAAGTTACCTGCCTTTTAGGAATCGTATTTATGTAAAATAGATACGTACTTCTTCAAATACAATACATCTTTCCAGAACAAAGTGTATGGCTTTCCAACGAACCTTCTTATGATATATTAGATAAATTGAAATGTTTGATAACTACAAGAAAGATTGATTTATTTTTATAATCGTCTTTTATAACACTCTACTAAGATTGCAAGTTGTGATGAATTTTTGTCATTTCCAACCCATGAGCTCTTTGCTTTTCAAACAAATTTACATAATATATAGCGAGTCATTTATTACTGAATCCCAGCTTATTTGCATTACAAAAGCTTGTTTTAGTATAGTAGAGGTATACAGTAAATTATTTAAATAAACTCAAAGTTATTTTTGAGTACCTACGCCATGAAAATAATATAATATCTCGTTGTTAACGTAATTTTATCATTTTTACAGATGACGACTCATCTCATGTTTACGGTGTCATCACAGCGGAAGGGCTTTTTGACGGCACTATCTGGACACCCACAGAAGAATATTATGTAGAACCATTATCCCGTTACAGCCAAGAACATCCCACAATGCACAGCGTCATATATCGAAGATCTGATGTGGAGCATCCGCATGATAACGGCGAGGGCACTCCTTGCGCTTCACATCTTCTTCATATGAAAAAAACAATGGGCCACCAAGGAGAACTCTTCAACTTCACTAACCTTCCTCACAACGAAAATCTACCTCTCAACAACCGCACCGAAGATTTGAACAGCGAAATACACAGACGTAAGAAGAGGTGGCTCCCCGAAGACGAAATGCAAGATGACGAGCCAAAGAAGAATCCCGAATTACCTTTAGATTTAGACGTCCCTTACACGAGCAATAACGAACCGTTCGACAAGTTCAGCACGAGAAAGCCAAAAACCAAAATCGACAAGAGTAACCTCATAACTAAGGTGCGACTCGATTCCGAAGAGTCGCGACCGAAGCCAAAGACGCACGTGGAAGTGATAAAAACTAAAGCAGGGGTCGTGACAATCAGTAAGGATATAGTTAAAAAGGAGCCAGTTGGGTATACTGTGTTATCCGCGAACGGGACAGACGATGGTCGACATGTAAACAAGAGAGCTACAGTAGACCCCCGGAAGACCACATGTCTAGTGTACTTGCAAGCAGACCACATGTTCTTCCAGCGATATGGATCGGAAGAAGCATGCATTGAAGTAATGACTCGACACGTACAAAAAGTAAACGCCATTTATAAAGTCACAGGTCTGACCTAGTTTTACTTTCCCTTTATTTTCTTTTTTAGATATTTTCATGTACGTGTAAATATATTAATATTTATATTCCTTTTTTCAGACTTCAATCAAGACGGCAAGCCCGACAACATTACCTTTATGATCAAAAGAATAAAAGTTCACACATTAGACGCTTTGAAAGAGCCTTCATATAGATTTCCTAACAACTACGGCGTTGAGAAATACTTAGAGCTTTTTTCGGGTAAGCAATTTACCTTTAATCGATAGAACATGGCTCACATGGGGCCTGTTCCGTGATGTTAATGCTAGCTGTATACATTTACTTAACGACTGGTATATTAAATTACTTTCTTGTATATATTTTGATGCTATTACTCCATGGGGTGAACTAGTGACAGAGCATCAAAGCAATGGGTTTATAAAATACAAACATCAGTACCCCAAAACGAACAATTAGCGAGAAAGTATTCGTATAGCCATGTCACAGTTTCTATGGAAAAGGCTGTTTGTATTCTTACGTCCGTTAGGGGACTGCTCATTATCCATATAAGTATGACGTTAGCGATACGAATACGGATATGTCAAGCTTTGCGCTTGGGGTACAGCAGTCTAGCCTCTCTAGTTTATACTCAATATTATAAAGAGGAAAGATTTGTATGTTGTAACGAATTGGCTCAAAAAGTACTGAAGCGATTTTAAAAATTCGTTCGCCATTTGAATGCTACATTATCACTGATTAATATAGGTTATAGTGTATTTTCAATTAAGTTAGGGTTCCGTATGAAAACTTCGATAATGTAACCCAACGTGTGTAAAAAATACCAAAAAATAGCCTTATATCGCGCACGCCGCGGAAGTCATTGACAATAGAGCAAAGTGATGTACTAAAGCTTTATAGAGGATACCAATATCTACAAAAAAGTCCGCGATACGATATGTCTAACTATTACAGTTGTGTCACAACTAGAGGTGCCCTGCGGTTTCACCCGCGTTAATTTGAAGAAAAAGGTTTATAGTGAGTCAAACTTAAAATATGGACATAGACTGTCGTGGACTTTTTTACAGAACTTTTAAAGGGCAAGAATTCCATCAATTATGATTTTTGTGTAACTTTAACCCCGTTTACCCAGCGCACTCTACGGAATCTCACAAATGGAATATTTTTACATTGTAACAAAATTGTCCCGTAAATAACTTATATTACTTTAATGTTAGTGACCATGAAAGTTTAAAATAATGTATAACTATAGTATACACTACAGCTCTACACCAAAGCAAAGCGAGGGCGGGCCACTAGTATTTAATAATTTGCGGTTGTATGTAAACTAAATTTGTATTTGTATTTTCAGAGGAAGACTACGACGCATTCTGTTTAGCATACATGTTTACGTACAGAGATTTTGAAATGGGCACTCTGGGTCTGGCTTGGACGGGTGATTTGAAGAATGCGGGCGGTGTTTGTGAGAAAAATGGGGTAAGAATTCCTTTACTTATTTGTAAACATTTTTGTTGCTGGAAAATCTACTAGGAAGTTTTGGGATAGGTGATTTGAAATCATGGCAAGTTCTAGTTTTCTTAAAATCTAATTTATTTTGTTTATCTGCTCTGAAGACTACAAAAGAATATTCTCCTCACTAACTTTAAATAGTTTTTCGATTAATAAAATCATATTTTTGTAAATATTTTTATTTTGAGTTATAAACTGCCAGATTTCTAAACTTGCATCCATCCAGATAGCGGAAGGTGCAGGTACGAGTCCTATCTGATACTTAAATCGAGTGATTTTTTTTCTTGTAAATTTTATTTAGATTTATCATTGTTTTCTAAATTTTTCTAAAGTAGTCCTCATTCCAATTTCCAGCATTATCGCGGCAGTATGAAGTCTCTGAACACCGGCATCGTGACGTTACTCAACTACGGCAAGCACGTGCCGCCCGCCGTGTCGCACGTCACCCTCGCGCACGAGATTGGACACAACTTCGGCTCCCCGGTAAGTCATACACACGAAAGGGTTATATTGTGAATTATGTCCTCGGGTTATAAAGCATCGATCGCCCTCGTTGTCTTTTATTTTAGTTTACCATATTGTTACGTGTCGGGATGAGGTTCGAAATTATATGCCAGTTCACGCTTGACAGTACTCTATTCACCTCATAGTTCACACAGTTAACACAGAATTTTAATCACAATACGCTCACTAAACACTGTACTTCACTATGTCTTTAAACAATCTCACATAAACAGTTTACTTGCACTTTGATCGCCTAAGTATTCGTTCTAAAATCGCAGTTGAAACTCAACTGTTATTGCTTTGAAACTAAACTCTCTGCTGCGGCGCCGATTGCGCTTATATACGCCAATCGAGGCATTCTAGAAAAGTCCACTTAAAATGAGAGTTAACTAGCACCCGCGAGTGCGTAGTACCTACTTATACCTACGTAGGTAACGCGCATAAGTTGTGAAGAAGTTCAGATGTTGTTGCATTTTCTCCTTTACGCCGCACTGCATAAGGCTCATATTAATGAGCGACCCGCGGTGTTCTGGTAAAATCTGTCTTCTGTATTTTCGCGGTTTTGTTTTGAGAGCGTTTGTGACAATATTATCTCCAGCTAGTAAAAATATAAATAAAAATTATAACAGCACCTTGGCAGAATACACATCAGATTCAGAACAGCAGACATTCTTTGTCCTCGTCATACAACTTGCATTACTCTTTTCACTCTCATTCAAATATTCAAAACATTAATATTTATTACCCATATCCATACTAAGGGGTCATCAATAAAGAACGTCATACTAATTTATTATTTTTATTCCCCTCCCTTCCCTCGGCCTTGTTACAGTTGATCACATTTGTGAGTACCCCTTCCTAGTGTGACGTCACATATTTTACTATTTTGCATTTAGAAATTATTAATTTAAAATATCGGGTTCGTAATTAGTTCCATAAATTTGCCAACAAAACAAATTAAAACAAACAGATAATGTTATAGTGTACCTATGTATTAGATTTTGCAATGTGACGTCACGAAATTTAGGAGCCTTCCCACCCTTTTGTCAAAAAATGACACACTTCGTTGACCCCCTCCCTCCCTCTTAACGCCTAAAACTAATGTGCGTTTGTCCACAGCACGACCCAGAAGTGTGCACCCCTTTCGGCGAGGACGGCAACTTCATAATGTTCGCGCGCGCCACCAGCGGCGACCGCAAGAACAACAACAAGTTCTCCCCGTGCTCGCTGCGAGCCATCGACCCGGTGCTCAACAACAAGGCGCGCTCTCCCAAGGGCTGCTTCACAGGTAACTAGAGCATACATACTTAGTAAATACTCATAGGAAGGTTGGTAAATACAGCAACAGATTTTGGCGCATTTTTTTATTGCCTTCGAAGGCAAACAAGCAGACGGGCCACCTGATGTTAAGTAGTCACCGTCGGCCAGGGACATCAGAAATTCCAGTGACACAGCCGCGTCGCTGCCATATGTAGCACTATGTTTTAGCACTGAGAAAACAACGTGAGGAGAAGCTCATTGAATAACTGAATTGTGAGTTAATTTATCAATTGGCCTGTTAAGAATTTAAGATATACTGATTGTAACGATCGGAAATTCGGGAACGCCAGTGTACTGCTCACATATAAGATTCAAACTTTATTAATTAATATTTTAGCCCCAAAGTAAGCACTGTAGGCTTGTGTTATTTTTCCCGTTCAAGCTACAAAACTCTAAAAATACGGTTGTGGTAGTAAATGTACTTCATATGTTTCCAGAGCCTCAGCCGGCCATCTGCGGCAACGGCGTGGTGGAGGCAGGCGAGGAGTGCGACTGCGGCTGGGCGTCCGAGTGCACGGACGTGTGCTGCCGACCGCAGGCGCCGCGCCCGCACTACAAGCCCTGCACTCTCACCGAGCACAGCGTGTGCAGCCCCAGCCAGGTACTGAGTGTGAAGTGTACTGCGGCTGGGCGTCCGAGTGCACGGACGTGTGCTGCCGCCCGCACTACAAGCCCTGCACTCTCACCGAGCACAGTGTGTGCAGCCCCAGCCAGGTACTGAGTGTGAAGTGTGTTGCGGCTGGGCGTCCGAGTGCACGGACGTGTGCTGCCGCCCGCAGGCGCCGCGCCCGCACTACAAGCCCTGCACTCTCACCGAGCACAGCCTATGCAACCCCAGCCAGGTACTGAGTGTGAAGTGTACTGCGGCTGGGCGTCCGAGTGCACGGACGTGTGCTGCCGCCCGCAGGCGCCGCGCCCGCACTACAAGCCCTGCACTCTCACCGAGCACAGCGTGTGCAGCCCCAGCCAGGTACTGAGTGTGAAGTGTACTGCGGCTGGGCGTCCGAGTGCACGGACGTGTGCTGCCGCCCGCAGGCGCCGCGCCCGCACTACAAGCCCTGCACTCTCACCGAGCACAGCGTGTGCAGCCCCAGCCAGGTACTGAGTGTGAAGTGTACTGCGGCTGGGCGTCCGAGTGCACGGACGTGTGCTGCCGCCCGCAGGCGCCGCGCCCGCACTACAAGCCCTGCACTCTCACCGAGCACAGCGTGTGCAGCCCCAGCCAGCTACTGAGTGTGAAGTGTACTGCGGCTGGGCGTCCGAGTGCACGGACGTGTGCTGCCGCCCGCACTACAAGCCCTGCACTCTCACTGAGCACAGCGGGTGCAGCCCCAGCTAGGTACTTAGTGTGAAGTGTACTAAGGCTACGCGTCCGAGTGCACGGATGTGTGCTGCTCCAGCTAGGCACAAACTCTTTTCAGCAATCCCGCTTTAAGGACCATAAAGTATACAATCCACCACGAATTTCACGTCGCAGATGCACACTTTTGAGATATCAGTAAGTAGTTTTTAGAGCACACAAGTATTAAGGTGTAGACCTGTACCCTTAGCACGAACCAATATCGAATTCGAATAGTTGAATCCGATCTCGATACGCGTCAAATGTCAAGAAGTTCTACCAAACGAGTCATTTTCAAACTAGTTGGCGAGATTGCGACGCAGCGATTCGAATTCGATTGCGAGCTGAAAAGACTCATTAATGAGTTCGCTCCATTCTCTAGAAATGAGCGAGCTCATTTTTACTCTTTTTGCTCTCTTTGTCATTTTCACTCAACTCTTTGTTGATGGAAACGGATGTATGCATTTTTGTATTGCGAGGTAAACGGAGTCATTCAGTGTATTCCGTAATATAAACCAGTACCCCTAGCACGAACCAATATCGAATTCGTATCGTTTGCGAGTCCGAAATGTCATTGTCAAATGTGTACTGATTTTTAGTTCTCGTTACGTACTTTGTGCCGCTGCTGTTCAAGTTTCCATACAAAATTTAACATTGACATTTCGGTCTGCAAACTATTCCAATTCGATAATGGTTATTGCTAGGGGTACAGTATACTGGCCAGTGCTAATGACGTCATGAATCGACGCTATACTGGTGAATTGTTCCGAAATATACAGGTGCACTGGGCACTGACGTCATAAATCGACGAAATATTAAAATTAGTGCGAAATAAGAAGATTTTTTATTCACCTCATCAATTAAAAGGAATTCTTTTTGTTCGGATGCCATTATTGTACTTTAAATAAAAAAGAAATAAAATTCGAATGAACCTCACGCACGCTCGGTCATACGTCATTCATTTTCCTGGTAAAAATATGGTGGCATACCAGTACAATATGGCGTCGGATTCGTGACGTCATTACCATTGGCGAGTATACTGATGTGTATTTCGGAATACACCCATTAATTTACATTATAACATTATGTATTCCAGGGTCCATGCTGCACCGCTTCGTGCACACTCAAGTTCGGCGACAAATGCCGTTCCGACAACGGTTGTAGGGACGCCGCACACTGCGACGGGAAGCGAGCCGCCTGCCCCGCTAGTAGGCACAAACCGAACCGAACGCGATGCGACAAAGAACTCGTCTGCTACATGGGAGTAAGTATTTTAATATCAGCCTATTAATGTCCTCACCCTGAGCGTTCGGCTGCGATCGTTGAAGTTAAGCAACTTTCGCAATGGTCGGTCATTGGATGGGTAACCAAATATCTTCTATCTTGAGTTCCTCCGTGCTTCGGAAGGCACGTTAAGCGGTTGGTCCAGGCTGCATCTGAAGTCGTTAGCACCCGCCAATCCGCACTGGGCCCGCGTGGTGGGTCATGGCCCAATCTCCCTATTCCATCCATAGAGAAGGCCTGTGCCCCAGCAGCGGGGGCATTAATAGGCTGATGATGATGAATGCCCTCACTGTTTGAGTACAGGCCTTTTACGGATGAGATAGGGAGATTAGTTCATGACCCGCCACGCGGGCACAATACTGATTAGTGGAATCTAACGACTGCAGGTACAACCAGAAAAAACGACTCAACATACCTTCCGAAGCAGGGAGGAAAAAAGTTTTGGGTTTATCCTATGACCATCCATTGCAAAAGATGCTAAAACGAACACAGATCGATCAGGCAAACGCACTACGCCATCGCGCTCCTCTCTGAGTGTACGAGTCAAATCGTACATTGATTGTTCAATAAACCTCACTCTGTACATGATCCGGCTCGAAGGACTATGTACAGAGCGAGGTTTATTGAACACTAAACTTATTTACTAAACTAATAAATATTATTTACAAATCAAATGCTTATGACTGCTTCAAGCTGCCCGTGTATGGCTGTTCTTAGACTAAGAACTCAGGCGCGACTTTCTCTCGCGCCCGCCGCAGCTGCGGGCAGCGTAAAATGTCACACCGGCACTTCACTTAGTTATCGTGTATGCTATTGTTGAAATGGCTAGGTATTTCAAATAATAAATACATTTAAATTAAACTCTGGTTGTATTCTTAACAGCACACATTCTTTACAATACAACGCATGACATAAAAAGATTTTCAGGAAACGGAAGTAAAAGTGAGGTGCACAGAATAGGTAGATTATATGAGGTTCTTCCCGAAAATGATAGATGGCGCTACGTGTAACACTTACATAAATATATGATTATAAAATTTACCAAATTACAACAGCTATAATATGTAAAATTGACATCAGTCTGTCCTTTTCATTCCTTAAAAAGCATGATAAGGACCGCTGTCAAGTTTACAAACAGCAAATACGAATAGCCAAGTGAAGTACTGGAATCAAATTTTTAGTAAAATGCAAATACAAAACTCACGCCGCGATTTGCGCCCGCAGAGCACGCGGGTATTAACGGCACCCGCTGCGGGCGCGCGCTGGACGCGATCTCCTGTAGCCGCGGCGGATCTGGATCACGCGCTCTGTAATTTTTATGCGGGTTACTAAAATACGCCTTATGTATTCAAAGAGAGCGGGCCCGCACAGTCTGCGATCTTTTTCCGCAAAGTCTACGGATTCTCCGCCGCGGCAGTTGCGAGGCCACAGAAAATTGCTTTCTCTTCAGTTTTGAAATAAAACAGCTTTCCCGCTGCCGTGGCAGACGCGGAGAAATATCGCGCCGTTAGTTCTAAGCCTATCTACCTGACTATTTTGTCAAAATATCTCAAATACTATGTTGTTTAACCAGGAATGCACCGGTTCCATCTGCCTCGCTTACGGTCTGGAGTCATGCCAGTGTGCACCACGAGCTGAAGACCCCCGCTCCGCCTGCGAGCTGTGCTGCCGACGGGCCGGCGGGCCCTGCCTGTCCTCCTTCCACTGGAACGCGGCGCCCTACGACGTGCCCGACATGTACGCCAAGCCCGGCACGCCCTGCAACGACTACAACGGGTGAGTGACGCGCCTATACTACACTACAGGCGAGGGCGGGCTCTACCTGTCCTCCTTCCACTGGAACGCGGCGCCCTACGACGTGCCCGACATGTACGCCAAGCCCGGCACGCCCTGCAACGACTACAACGGGTGAGTGACGCGCCTATACTACACTACAGGCGAGGGCGGGCTCTACCTGTCCTCCTTCCACTGGAACGCGGCGCCCTACGACGTGCCCGACATGTACGCCAAGCCCGGCACGCCCTGCAACGACTACAACGGGTGAGTGACGCGCCTATACTACACTACAGGCGAGGGCGGGCTCTACCTGTCCTCCTTCCACTGGAACGCGGCGCCCTACGACGTGCCCGACATGTACGCCAAGCCCGGCACGCCCTGCAACGACTACAACGGGTGAGTGACGCGCCTATACTACACTACAGGCGAGGGCGGGCTCTTCCTGTCCTCTTTAAGAAGGGCGGAAACTGTCCTTTTGGCTACTTTCTATTTTGTGACCATAGCTAGTGAAGTTTTATTATAGCTACTTCTCTCTAACAGGTGGGAGGGACCTTTGTATTTGTTGATTTCACCTGAAACATTTGTTTGGAGAATTTTTTCATTTCATTGAAACTTCAAAACTGATTCTCGTTCAATAACTAATGGATGCTTGATTTGTATCGGACAGGTACTGCGACGTGTTTCAACGCTGCCGCGAAGTGGACCCGGCGGGCCCGCTGGCTACCCTGCGCCGCTTACTGCTCTCCGACGAGAGCCTGGCCGGCTTCCGGCGCTGGCTGCTGCGGCACTGGTACGCCGCGCTGCTTGTGCTGCTGGCCGTCATCGCGCTTCTGGTGAGTGTGCTGCAGTCTGACGAGAGTCTTACTCTACGACTCGACACTAATTTTAACGATTACGATTTCAAATATAAATTGGGAAATGCGGTTACTGTGGACGAGAGCCTGGCCGACACCCGTCACTGACTGCTGCTGCACTGGTACGCCGCGCTGCTTGTGCTGCTGGCCGTCATCGCGCTTCTGTTGAGTGTGCCGCAGTCTGCCGAGAGCGTTACTCTACGACTCGACACCAATTTTAACGATTTCGATTTCGAACGTTTATATGCTAGCGGGTTTTTACAGCATAACATTTCTGGCATAACGACTTGATACCAATTGTAACGGTTTCGATTTCAAACAAAAATTGAGAAATGCGGTCACTGTGGACGAGAGCCTGGCTGACACTCGGCGCTGACTGCTACGCCACTGGCACATTTATAAAGGTAGTAAATTCAAACAAACTGTAAAAATATGTCTCTACTGATTCAACGGTCTTCGCAATAACTTTAGCATGAAATTGAATGGAGTAATTTAGCAGAACTTTTAAGAAACAGAGAGATGCAAGACTTCCCGTGTTTGGGAATGGGGCTTGACTTGATCAAGCAACGCGCCAGTGACATCGTACAGTATTTTGAGCGTTTATATGCTAACAGGTTTTTACAGCATAACATTGCTGGCATAACATCGTTTTTTTTTCATACTTAAACTGCAATTGCGGATTGGATTGGATCCATCCAATCTACATCTAATTGGATAGATTTATTTATTTAAAGTTTGGAAAAAAGCACTCCAATTTTACTTTTACTATGTTTATTTTATAAGTTTTCTATAAGTCCATAGATTAATGATTGGTCTCGCTACCGTAGGGTGACTTATCTATGGATGAATCATTCAAAGAAACAACTCCAGTTTATTCTTTCGCCAGTAAAAATATTATAATGTAAAAATACAAATCATTTTATTAAAAAAAACGCTAATTATATGTTAACTCTCTTTAGCGTTGCTGCTGTGTTTTAGAGTCTGCGTCGATGCCAGTCGACGTCAAAACATTAACGACATAGGTATTTCACTTCCTTTCGGCACATCAATAAAATTTACGTAAAACGGCTAGGTATTCAGAGTGCTATTTTTATTTGTTTCGTAGGTTTTCACGCACATCACTCATTAAATAAAACAGTTTTTCGGGTTATATGCACCGAATTTATTTATTTATTGACTGCATTATCGGAATAATGTTCTTTTTTATTTACTTTGTCGAGCTTTTTTTTTTATTGTTGGGAAAATGCTTGATGCATACCCCGCTCCTGGGTGAGAGGCCCCGCCTCTATGTGGGACTTCTCCCCCCCCCCCCCAAATCCCGCCCACGCGCTCAGCCAAACTGGCTCAGCGGCTGCTCGGGACGAGGGGGGGGGTCTACCCACTAAAAACCCAACAGTGCTTCCTCGCCTGCCGGAACGGGTTTCGTGGGATCCTGGTGACTCTCCACGTTACCCCCGGCAGGGGTTCCTCCTCCTGGCGGTCAGGGGTATGCCCGGAAGCACCTAGGCATCCCCCCTCGACGGGTGAGACTGTGCAATGCGGACGACGGACCACCCTGTCCGCCGTCCGCTAGCCTCACTAGGGCGGAATGAGGCGGTCGTACCGCCGCCTCCTACCACCCCGCCGTCGGCGTCGGACCCTTTGTCGAGCTACCTTCGCAAGACTTTTATTGAGTGTTCGGATATTTCATTGGAAGATTATAGATATTAAAACTTTGTTGTCTATGCTTGAATTTATTGGTATTTTTACACAAATTACGCTAAAAAAACGAGTGTGCTTATGACCAAACGACTGCAGTGAAACTTTTTTAGCTCCATCTGTATGTACACATATATATGTGTGTGTACAATGTATGTATCATTTGCTAGCTATAAGAGAAAGAGAGAAAGAAAATGTGCGCGCGCACTGCTTTCTCTTACTTATACGCGTAACGCATTCGCCAGCTTACCCCCCAAGTCAAGCGTGCGTTAAGAAGTTTCACTTCAAAAATATCCATTTATATAGTTTGTCGCTAAATATAAACATGTGTAACTAATACAGATATTTGTGTTGTATTGGCTAGATCACTTTTGTTTTAATCCCATCTTTTAAATTCTTGAAGAAAGTTATTTCATTTACAATCATTGCTATCCATAGTAAACGTTAAATTATGGCAATAAGCAGCACCCAAGTAATCAATCTGTAATCCAGCTCGAAGGACCAAAAATAATATTACTCTAATCTCTATTAAACTTGGAGGTAGTTAGTACAGGCCAGTTAGGTAGATAGGATTTAATTTTTCATTGAAAGATACTTATCGGAAGATTCTTCATCACGTTGTAATACAAGCTAAAGGAGATTGCTCAGCTTCCATACATGTTTGGCCTAAAGACACATTGATTTTGATGTATCATGAAAAAAAATTTGACCACAATAACAATTTAAGGGGGACCACCCTTAACATTTATGGGGATGAAAAATAGATGTTGTCCGATTCTCAGACCTACTGAATTTGCATATAAAAATTCACGAAAATCGTCAAGCCGTTTCGGAGTAGTTCAATTACGCACACCATGACACGAGAATTTTATATATTAGATCAGGTAGTCCTGTTATATCATTATCTCGTTAAAACTTCTCTTAGTAGTTATAACATTATAAGAAAGGTAGCACATAGCGGATTTTCCGTCCTGGGAAGTAACCTCCGGCTCTTAAACGGTTTCAGGGCTCCACGGGGTAAGAGATTGGATCAGAGTAGGCAACGGTGCCAATGATATTTTTGATATCGCAAGCGTCTAAAGGCTATGGTGGCCTCTTACCATCAGGCGGGATATAGGCTTGTTTGCTACTCTATTACATAAAAAGAAAAAAAAACCGGCCAAGTGCGAGTCGGACTCCCGCACCTAGGGTTCCGTACAAAGTCAATTTAATACCTCTACGCGTTCAAGAGAAAAGAGGTAGTAACTTTAAAGTTTTAAAAAAAAAATTTTATTTTATGGTGTAACTAAAAATTTACGGTTCTCGCAATTTTTCCTTTATCTGTACTATAAGACGTTACTTCGTACCAAATTTCAAGATTCTAAGTTTACGGGAAGTAGCCTGTAGATTTTGTTCCCGTGCGAGTTTCGAAAATTTGCGGCATAAACGGCTATATCTTTCGATTGCTTTGGCTTAGTTTTGATTTTTTCACAGTTCCAAGGGACAGTAGATATGAGTACCTATTAGATATGAATTTCAGTTTGATACCTCCACGCGTTCCTGAGAAAAACGGTCTTGACAGACGGACGGAAAACAAAGTAATCCTATAAGGGTTCTTTTTCTTCCTTTTGAGGTACGGAACCCTAAAAATCTTTCTGAATCGTATATTTAATTCTCATTTTGTGTTCACAGGTCGCCAGCACGCGGTACTTCGGGCGGCACGGCAAGAAGCTCAAGTCTGTTACTATTATCCACTCGTCCACAACAGAAACCGTCCGTTTGCCCGATGCTCCCGACCAGGGCCTTATAGTTCACACAGCTGTCAGGTAATGTATCCATTTACATATATCCTCTAACTATTTATAAATGTAAAATGACAATAACGTCATGATAAAAACACTTACGTATAATGAAACAGAAAAAATAATGCAGGTCATCAAATAATTTAGCTAATAGGTAGCAATACATAATATTATACATAGTGTAGAACAGTCCATACCATACACATCATATTATTATATGCAAAACTCACTAGCGCATACACACACACACACACAAGCACGCACATACACACACGCGCACGCACACACACCCATTTTCTGAACATATATGTCAGTTTCTTGTCCTTTCCATTTAATTTTGAAAGTAATGGATTTATGATGCCATATGTGCTAAGGGGATTGGCTGTATGCCGTAATACAGGCATTTTGCCTAGCTCGGCAGCAGATAAATATGTAGTTATGTTAGAGATATTAGTACTGTTTTAGCCTTATAAGGTATATCACCTCTTATGGGAATTAAATTATTATTACTATTATGTAAATAACTTAGCAGCCAAACGACGTATTAAAAATGATATGGAAGCATAACAAAGGCCTTTAAAACATGGTTCAAAACTAAACTTCAATACTAACGCGATACGCACACAGAATAAGCAAAATAATTTGACGAATCAAATATCTGCAAATGAATTCGGCTATCCATTCATTGGATAAGATAAGGTTAAACGTAAATCCCAACCAATCCCATGATCAGCGTGTTGATCGCATTTTTAAGCTCCGCCCACTTGTTCGCCTATTGCGTGGAACCAATTTTGAGTGCAGTTCGTATTCCATATTAATTCTAATTCGTTGCAGCCAAAAATAAACAGAAATAAAGTATTTGATTTGGGATTTCTTGATCTTCAATATATGATAGAGGGACTTCTGTGTTTTGTATCAAGTTGTATATTTGGTTGTTGTAAATTGTGTTATACAAATAGTATTCTCTTATCGAAATGGCTGATCATGATTATTAATTACTACTTGCACAGAAAAGTTACCGTGTTTGGTATTCTAATATTTTTCTAAACTTTAACACCAGAGGAAATTCTAGTATTTTTCTAAAATTTTAACATAATAATACTATACTTACAAAAATAAAAAATATTAGGTTTTAATTAGAAGAGCTCTAATAAAGAGCTCAGTGGCGCAGGTGGTTAGCGCGGTCGCCCTGCGATTGTGGTAGTTAAGCGACTATCTCAATGGTCGGTCTTTGGATGGGTGACTAAAAACTTATTATCTCACGCTCCACCGTGCTTTGAAAGGCACGTTAAGCCTTTGGTCCTGGCTGCATCTGCAGTCGTTAGCACCCACCAATCCGCACTAGGCCCGCATGGTTGGCCAGGCCCAATCTCCCTATTCCATAAGAAAAGCCTATGCACCACACTGCTGCTGCATAGGCCATCAATATAGGCTGATGATGAAAAACTATAATTTAAATGTTAAATTGCAGGTCTAAAGTTCCACTTAAGAAGAAAGTGGCTCTACGAACCCGAGCCTACAGAAATAAGAAGGACCACAAAAAATTAGGAGACAAACCGTCTCCATCTCACAGTGCCAATAAAAAGAGAGTAAGTTATTTTGTAATCTTCAAAACAGCCTTTGTCTGTTTTTTAAACGAATAATCCAACAATTCATTTGTTTTTAACAGAACCCTACTACACAAGTGAAGCCAGATGAAAACATTAAAATTAATAAAGAGAACACAGCCGTTGTAACTAATGCAGATGGTAAATCTCCAAAACATGTGATATTATCGAAACATAAGGGAAAAGTTAAAAAACGTAAGTCGAAAGTGAAAAAAGAGACAATAGACTATAGCGCCATGCAGAAGCACTCGTCGTCCCCTACTAAGGATACCGAAGCCTTAACCAAAGTCCAGAAGTGGTTACTCAGTTCACCACAACCGACCGTTATTCCTAAATCTAAATCAATACCATTAGGACTTACAGAAAGGACTCATAGGCAAGTCCAAAAAGGGTCAAGAAAAACTAGGCCATCCAAGAGCGCAACCAACCTTCTCAGCGGGGAGAAGGCCAGGTTACAAGTAGTATTTAAACCACCCTTCCGATTCAGTGTCAAAATTTGCAAAAGTGATAAGACTAAAGTGGTTTTAGACAAATCCTCCAAGCCCGACGTAGATAGAAAACGCCACGAACCATCAGCGCCGCAAACTGCCTCCGGGGACGTCGCAAAATCTAATCCATCCAACAGTAAACTAATAAAGCATTCTAATTCTACGAGATTAGAAAACGCTACCCCTAGTACACCTAAACCAGAGATGCCACAAACGCAAGAAACCGGAACCCACGGATACGCGAACCTGCTGCCGAGGAGCGCCAGCGATTGCAAATTAACGAAGAAACTACAGGAAGGGAAATCGCGGAGCGGTCACAAGAAGAGTAATTCTCTGGGGCAAAAGAAGGAGACGACAGAGAGTCGCCAGAATCTGATCGCGCCAGAGGACGCGGACAGCGCGCACGTTTACGAGAACGTATCGATGGCGCAAGAAGCGTTCGTACCGAAGAGTTGCAGCATGCCGCGGCGACAGACCAGCGTCGGCATCTCGCGGCAGAGCAGCTACGGCCATCTGCCGCGAGCCCACGCCCGTCCGCACCGGCACAGCACCAGCAACGTCAACGCCCGCCCCGCCGACCTCGACCACTTCTACAGAGTCATCGAGTCGCTGAAGCACAGCGAGCCCACTCGGACCGGCGAGCGAACGAACGCATCCGGCGAAAAGTCGGCGCGCGCGAGCCCCATAGACACGTCCAAACTGAAGCGGCGACTCAGCGAAATCGAAATCGGCAAGCGACACCTCAACGACAGCGGCGTGAAAGGCTTCCAGCTGGTGGTTGGCAAGAGTAAACTGAAGCGGCAGATGAGCGACAACGAGTTGTGCGAGCCGCGCGTGCAGCTCGCGATGCCGATGTCCGCGGGCGCCGACCCGCGCCCCGCCTTCTGCTGGGCGGAGCCGCGGCACAAGCGACCCGCCTACACATTCGGCGAGCTCAAGCACTCCGTACCCGACGCCGCCCAACCCTCCTGCCCTGCCGACGCCCCGATCTCCCCCAAGGAATTCCTGAACGATGACTGACGCCGCGCTCGAATCGATTCTGTAGAGTAAACGAGTGCAGTGCGGTGCTCCGTGCGTGACGAATGCGTGTACGCTTGTCGTATTCCCGAGTTGTATCTATGTCGATTAGTGTAAATATTGTAATTTGCTTTACTACCAGTTAAGATTAATGTAACCTGCCACTGAAACGGACCATTGCTTAGTGTTCGCTTCCGAGATGCTCGGTTGAACAGAATCTCGTGAAGTTGTTGTAGTTAGGTAACGATTTAATTTTGGAACTCGATGAAAATTGGTTAGTCTTTGACTAGTGCCCATAAGTGATAATAATATTGTTTTTAAGTTGTTGCACAATGTTGTCTCCCTCGCGTATTGCAAGAGATGATGGACTAGCAATGGTCTCGTTTCACTGAACGATCTCTATAAATGAATCTCTATTTTTTCTACATGCTATGTATTGTACAAATTTACTCATACCTATGTAAAGTGTTCATGTAATGACTAATTTAGTGTTTTAATTAATTGAACATTCCATAATTTTTTATTTAACTTTTTTTTCTTTAGAAATGGAACCCCTAATTACGTATTTAATATTTTTGAACTCTACTAATTCTTCTAATTTACCTTGATAGTTGTCAATTAACACGTCAATATCTTAAACTAAAATACACACACAAAATTGTAATTATGCTATGAAATAATCATTCTAGGGTTCTCGATCCGGGTATCAGAGAGAATGGCATTTGTAACATACAAACTACATAATTATTTTTACTTCATTGAAATGATCCGCTTCGGTGGGATCAAGAAGGAAATTATATTCTATTCCACTATTTTCTAAAGGGAATCATAGAATGTTTTAAAATTCATATTAAAATAAACTGTGTATTATGTGTGTATTACCTCTAAACTGTTCCACTAATAAGAATATTTTTTTAATAATATTCATAAAATATGTTATTAACGAAAGCTAATTTATCATTGTCTACTTTATAGTAATATAAGTTATTTACGGGATTGTTACCACGTACCTTGTTTTTAACGAGTTTCCGATATTTCGGCACTGTTGCAAGCGCCGTGATCACGAAGTTACTGAAGTAATTGCGGGTAGGCTGTTATTGGCAGACATATCGGTCTACCCTCCGACGCAGTCTTATATAGCGTTCGATACCCGTACCACTGTTTACATTCTCACTATTCACTCGAAACTGTTCTCGACACACAACACTAAGGCCCGTATTACAGAATGACAACTAAGCGTTGATCTTTACTTGAGTACAGTTATAAGCACATAAGGGGGTGCTATATATAGCACATAGCGACATCCCTTTCTAACTATGCTCAAGACTTGGTCAATCACTGAAATTCTTAAGGCCTTTAAGGCCGTCCTTAGAGTATCGGATCGCGACACCACCCTTTTTTGAAACGAAACGAAATATCGGAAACTCGGTAAAAACAAGGTACATGGTAACAATCCCGTAAATAACTTATATTACTATAATGTTAGTGACCATGAAAGTTTAAAACAATATATTGTCTACTTTTTACATAAACACACATGACGCAAAGATTAAAATCTTACTTGACGACATGGCTGCATTTTGTTGTTTTCAATAATTAGTTCTGCGATATCTGGGATGGAATTTTTCATAAACAATCAGTTAGTATGACAATATCGTAGTGTGTGTAAAAAGATATGTATAGTATTAATAAATTAATGTAATTAGAGCTAAATAGTTGATAGGTACAAACTGTAATAAGTTTTCGCGGTCTCCCGTCTATATTTTTTTTATTACGAATTTCTTATCTTTTCCACTTTTAAAGAGGGTTGTCCGTCATTATTACGAAATATCACACGTATTAAAATAAAAGTACAATATTTCTATCTCAGATATTATTCAGAATATTATTATGTTCCAGTGATTTTTGAATCATGCAAGAGTGTCACAAGAACTTTTTCGCTGTGACACAGCGTAAATGAGCTTTGACGTAGGGAAGTAAGGGTAAAATGTAAAAGCTATTGTATAGAAACCGACTTCTAAGGCGATACTAAAAGTATTGGAAATGTTACAAATTTGTATTTTTAAAGACTTCTACATTAATTCGTATATAAACGGTATGTATTTATCTTAATGTTTATTGATATAATTTATTGGAAAATAAGTCTATATTAGTAAAAACATCCAATAAAATGGATTCAGATAAATGTTAAAAATTATGAATTTGAAATCTACGTGTTTAGACTTTATGGCTCTATTTGATGGTTTATGAGTATTAAAAAATATAATATTAATTATTAGAAATCTTCCAATTTCATGGGTCAAATTATAATTAAACTAAGTTTATTTTCCTTAAACTTCGATTACATTCTCTTCGATATTTTCTTGTGAACTGATTATACATCTGAACATATAAATTACGTCATTGTTTGTTCTAAGTGCCTTAAGAAACAAGCCATTACATTCCTAACCAACATTCCAACAAATATTGTGCATTTGTTAACTTGATTTTATATAAACTGCAATGAAGTCCTTACATAATTATGAAATAATATAATTAAAATATCGATGTTGTATTAAACTTGTATTTCAGTACTTAATTAGTCTGTGATAGAATTTATTTTACAGTCTATGTCTGTTGTATTTGTATTATCTTCACGCTTTTGTAATTTGAATAAACTGTTATTTAGTATAATTATTATTACTATTATTCATAAGGAATACAAATTTGTAATAATTCATTTTCTAACTTTTTACTTTGTTCCGCAATTTTGAAGAATTAAAAACAATCCGAGACAGTGTCGTGTTTAATTTGTTAAACTTACCTTTTGTAAATATTATTATCAATGTATTTTATAATTGGTCATCAACTAAAGTTAACTTTAGTAAGAGTTGATAATCTATTTAATATCTCCTGGACATAGAACTTTGCCCTTGGAACATTTCATTCCGAAAAAATGTATCCAGTATTAAGATTTTTCTACTAGAAAAAAATCCACGCGACCAGGCTGCAGACAAGACTCGAATCCGCACCGTCCGCTATCCGAGCAGATGCCATTAAATTTACGAAATTCTACATACACTTCGCCCTTAACTTAATTTAAGTATAAAAGATAAGTAGGTATAATTCGGTACCAATATAATTAGAATTATATTTGTTTAAAAAAACACATCTTATTATTAAATAATTAGGTACTCATGAATTATTAAGAAGCAGAAGATTTTTTATACATCAATGTACAATCGAACCATCTGATTCCTGACCCACTTGCCCGATAATTCGCTTAAAATGTAAAAACAGACAAGTTTTCCTTTGTAGTGAATGTGTAATTGCACATTATAACAAGGAAACTGCATTAAAATGGATCAAAGATATTTTAACTTCGACCTTTATTTTCAATGTCAATGTCAAAATTTTCTTTTTCCCCCATTGCTGCCGAATCAATCTTAAGAGAAAACGTGAAACCATTTTAAACATGTTGACTTTAAAGATGTAATTAAAACGTTTCACCAATTAAATAAAAAGAAAACCGCGGATCTGTGGGGCAATTCCGTTGATGTTTCTAAATCGGTAATTAAGACAATAGCTCCTATTCTAGCTTGCATATTTAATGATTGTGTTGACTGTGGTGTTTTTCCTGACCTCATGAAATACAGTGAAATAACTCCTTTGCATAAAACGGGAAGTACATCAGAGCCCACAAACTTTAGACCAATTTCTGTGCTACCCACGTTTAGTAAAATTTTCGAAAAAATCGTGTTAGATCAAATGCAATCACATTTTAATAAATATAATATACTTCACTGTTAACAATTTGGTTTTACACGGGGTCGTTCAACAACCGATGCCGGTGTTGAACTTATACAACAAATTTTTGACGCCTGGGAGAACTCGCAGGACGCTCTAGGTGTGTTTTGCGACTTGTCCAAGGCTTTTGATTGCGTTTTTCATGAAACATTACTCAGGAAACTCCACCACTATGGATTTAGAGATACTGATCTGAATCTTATTGCGTCATACCTGATGGATAGGATTCAGAGGGTTGACCTTAATGGCAATAAGTCTGCGGGTTCGCCGGTTAAAATGGGTGTTCCGCAGGGCTCAATCCTTGGTCCTTTCTTATTTTTAATTTTTATTAATGACTTGCCTTACTTTGTTAGAGATAAGCATGAGATAGTATTGTTCGCGGATGATACATCACTTTTATTTAAACTCAAACGTAAGGAAACAGTTATTGACGACGTGAACAGTATCTCTAAGGTAGTCCACTGGTTTAATGTTAATAATTTATTACTAAATGAAGGAAAAACGAAATGTATGAAATTTGTATTACCTAATGTAAAACAGGTAAAAACCAGTGTGAATGTAAAGGATAGGAATATGGGCCTTGTAGACAACACAGTATTCTTAGGGATTACTTTAGATTCGAAGCTTCAATGGGGCCAACATTTGATAAATTATCAAATAGACTTAGCTCTGCAGCATATGCCGTAATGAAGATACGCCAGTTAACGGATGTAGATACGGTCAGATTAGTGTACTTTAGTTATTTCCATAGTGTAATGTCGTACGGAAATTTATTGTGGGGAAACGCCGCCGATTATACTTATTACAGACAAAAATGCTTGGGTTTGAACTGTTCCAATCATTCCAACAGGTTTTCTATATTAAATAAATCATGATTGTATTGATGCATTAAAATGAGGTTATTACTAAATGATTTTATTATTACACCATTACTTCGTACAGAAAATAAAATTGGAATAGTAGTTTGAATTTCGTAACCACTCCTAAAATCGTAAAAGTTGGTCTAATTTTATTTAATCTTTAGTTTTTTTTACCATATAAAAAAATGATTATCTAATTGGGAAATCGCAAATCTACAAATAAATTAATGTTAAAAATATATGACACAGGAGTGAATCTATCACGCCAAATATAATTTCAGTTCGGAAAACAAAATAAGAAGTACCTACTTACCTATGTTTCCAGGGATTACTTATTACATTTACATTAAAGCAAAAATCTACCTTATTGTTTTGAAATTGTTCTAACTTTTAAGAAAATAAGCTTATGGTGGATCAGGAATCTAATTGGCTGATCGTACCTACTCTGGTAATGCTTACGAAATCCTTCCATAGAAAAAAAATTGGGAGATTAAAACCTTGTTTGTAAGACAATTTTAATTTTTTAAATGCCATTCGACGTTTTACCGATATTCTTTTGTTCAAACTAGCATGTTTGCTTGTCAAAGCAATTTGTTGATGAATTCAATATTTTCTTCAAGAATTCGGGTCTATAATGGCCCCAATACGATACAGTCTCCATTATGAAGATTATTCTGAACATTTGATGTCCAGATTCGGAAAATTATTGCAGATGCAATCATTGGTTGATATGACACTTATGTGTAGTTCCCACACTTTGCGTGTGCACAAAGCTGTTCTTGCTGCAAGTAGTGCTTATTTTCAGGTAACGAAATTGCTATACAGATTTTTCTCATTATTAATTTATTAGTCTAGTTTCTCTAATAAATTTCATATTTTTTTGTAAAAAAAGTTTTTTTTTTAAGGAAGTTTTACAAAAACAAACTGGAGAGCCCCTAATCATACTGAAAATGCGATTCAGTGTGTTGAAATGTCTCGTAGAATTCATGTACTGTGGAAAAACTCAATGTCTAGAAGAAAACTTGGACGAACTTGTATCAGCTGCTCAGTTCTTAAAGATCAAAGGACTTTCTAAAGTGACAAAAGAAGGGTTGGGAATTACAAATCAGAGTGAGTAGCTTTTCTGTTAATTCGTTGTAATATTTGCAACAATAAAAAGAAAAATACATTCATTTGTGTATAAAGATGTGTGATAATTTTGCTTACGCGATTTTTCGAGTGTGAAACATGAATTACGCAGTAGAGAATAGTAATTTACGCTAAACGAGCCGGTCGAAGGTACAACAATAATCACTGTCTTCGAATGTTATTTTTCGCAGGGTACTTAATTCCATTATATGTAATTGAATTTCGGGGTAATTTGTAGGGTAGGGGGAGGGGGGGCTCCCCCCGACCCCCCCGCCATAAATGATTTTTGGCGGAAATGCAGTTTTTTTTTTTACCTAACCTAAAAATTCATAAAATCTGTTATATGTAGTGGAATTTCAGGGGGATAGGTATTAGGGAAGACCCCTCAGAGGGAAGGGTAACCCCCCCCCCCGGCGTTTTTTTACAGAAATGATAATTATAAAAAATTAGAGGAGTTTTAAAGGTAAATCTGTACTTCCAGCGCCTAGAGGTGATATTTGATTTTTCTGTAGAAAAAGTCTATTAACAAATTTTTCTTTCTGGCGCTTCGCCGGCCGCTGCCGCGGCACGCTCGCTTCGCTCGCTAAGCTCGCGCGTTAAGGTCACAACACTAACCTAACCTAACCTAGTGTGAAGTATCACCACTTGGGCCTTAGATATACAGTTTAGCCGTTTAAATAAAACAAGTTTAAACACAAACACTGACTGACAGATCTCATTAATGGCAGTAAATTGTCACATTTTGACAATAGTACCAACATAATAAACTTATATTTATCATAGACAACGAGAAACATGTTATTTTTGCATAAAAAAATGGCAGCACTGATCATGAAAATGACGAAAAAAAAATGTTGTCAAAATTGACTCATAACCTACTAAAATATTAATTTTCAATAATTTTTTTCTCGAGTTCTATTAGTTTCCGCCAAAAAAGATTTCGTGTACGTATTTTTAATAGTTAATACTTTGCGTGACAAAAATTTCAGCTTGCAACTCAATTACATATAATGGAAAGGTGAGCCTTTCGCAGTACCCGTGAGAAAACATGAATTATTTTAAGATGCGATTAATATAAGTACGTAGGTACCTACTTAGTCGAAACAGTAAAACACCTAGAAGGCCAAGTCGATGGGGTTCTATAAATTAAGATAGATACTAGACGATGAATCATTCTTATTTTTATAGGAATCCTCATAGTTTTGATCTTTTAAACACTATTTTGAAATAATTCAATTAATTGCAAACTACTTTTGACCACGTGCCCATGATGCTCGGCTTCATCGCAGAGTTTTCACTGAAGTACTCAGTCCACTATCGGATCGAGATGAGAAATTGTCTGTTTGTCAAAATCCGAATAAAATACAATGGTTATACTTCTTGCACAGGAATAGTGTTTTTGATGTAACCTTCGTTCATCGTTTAAGCTAACGGATGATGGGGATTGTGAACTATTCTTCCACTTATCCCCATTTGATGCTAATCAAATTGATAATGGGGATAAATGGAAGAAAAGTTTACAGATCCCCATCATCCGTTAGCTGGCCCAGAAATTATGAGGCGTACACCACTTATATTTCAACATTTAATTATAAATTCCGAACGTTGTTAAATTCGTGCAGTGGTAGAGGTGAAGGATTTGATTTGAAATTAAATGGGATTTCTAACTAGATTTTATGATTTTAGGCGAATTACCGGTCTTTACGCCACCTGTTGTAATAAACCGACCGCCACAGTCACTCATCGACTTACATACCCAGGTAAAATTAAATGAGTATTATGTATAGGTACATTTTTATGCAAGCCACCACTTTAAGGGTAGGGTAGATTCCCCCCCTGATGTTAATTGTAAATAGAGTCTGAAAGATAGCTGATAGGGCAGAAGTTTAATGTGCAACCCTTTTAGTATAACGTGAATGAGTTCCATGTGACATTTCATAATGAAATTACTTACATGCGTTTAATTTGCTGTAGGCGTCATTTTTAGCAGCCACTTCAAATTTTATAGTATCTCTGAATATGTAGATAGAAAATATGTTTAGTATTTTATTAACTAGTAACTTTATGACGTATTGTAACTATAACTACGAGGACAGGTAGGTATATCCTAGTAGCCATACAGCAGTAGGCAGTGGCGGCGCTAGGCGCTAGGCGTCGGCGACGTCGGCAACCGCCGACGGCCTCGCGCCTGAGGGGGCCTCGCAAAATTTGTTTACAAGTTACCTATTTATGTTCGTTTCTGCTGTCCTGGCTTAGGTAGCCGACCTCGAACAATTCGGGGAAAAAGCAGATGATAATGACTTATTATTTTCGAACACGTGCGTGATGGAAGCGAGTAGTACTTTACAGGTATTCAGAATCGTCTGTCTGGCACCACTATTTTTGTAATTAAATTTCTATGTTTGTAATTATTTTTTGTCATCATTTGATTATCAACAATAAAACTCGTTTACTCATACGTTATTTTATAATTTGGCTCACTTAATTTAACGGTTTTTTACTGCGAAGTAAATAGGCCTCACGAACTTGATGTCGCCGACGTCCACATGTGGTCTAGCGCCGCCACTGGCAGTAGGTACTATTCTGTAAAGACAACATTTTCACGCGCGGATCCGTATCGGATCCGCTATGGATCCGCGCGTGAACGCGAATGGAACTGCAGTCCTATTCTGTAAAATTGTCACGCACGAATCCATAGCGGATTCGAAACGAATCCGCGGCGCGCGTGAAAATTTTGTGTCTTTACAGAATGGCACTGCTGGTCTGGCAAACTAGTATGAACACCACGAAAAACTAGTACTATTAACGTAGGTAGTCATTGCTGGTATAAAAAAATAGAAAGTGCCGTATTAAGAGTAATAGAATAAATTGTTGGATGCGATGCTAACGACAACCTTCCAGAACAGCATACATCGAGCTAAAAAAGGCAACAATTTTTTTTGACAATATTTCAGCTTAACTTCATCTGTTGTTTATCAATAATGGCTCTCTTGTCTGCTGCTAGGATATCAAAAACTCTGCTTACGTGCATCACCAAAGCAGTGTTTCTCGTTTAATAAAATTTTAATTTTCCTAATAGGTATAGTTAAATTCACATTCTTTTATAAAACTACATATTACCATTCATGTATAACTTAGGAGGACGTAAAGTCACAGCCACCAGCTCCACTGCCGGCACCCATCACGAATCCAGCTGTCGACTCTCTTTCACGTTCCAACAAGGTACCAAATTCAACATTAATACAGATTTTTTAATGGCAGATTTACACAGGGTCCAGCGTTGCCAGATTGGACCAGTTGTCCCGATTTTTAAAACAAAATTAAATGTCCCGAGCGGGACAGGCTCAATCCCGCTTTTCGGGAATAACTCAACCATGTGTGCAGCGTACTGAGAAAGCGCGGGCGGGTGGAACAGACAAGTGTGGAGTGGCCACCTAACCGGGCGCGTCATGAAGAACTCTCAAACAAAGACAACTATTAAAGACTACTATATGGATTTTATGATAGAAAATCTGATTTAAAATATCATAGTTTTATTAAAATACATTTTCTATGGATATTATATATGGTCACGTGAACGTAAGTTGAACTCAAATAAAAAGATATATATTCAAAAACTTTTGATTATATACGTTTTTTTTAATATTCTACTACTTTCACTCTACGGCAGGGATCACCCGGGGTATTTCGGGTGATCCCGCAGACGTGCAAAGACTGCCCGCGCTGGGAGCTAAGTGCTCGGCCTATTGCCCACCGCACCGCTCCCCGTTCAACGGCACCTCATTTAGGTAATATTTAGTGACGGTGGAGTCCAGACGCAAAGATAGCTGTAACAGCAGTTATACCTGCCACACCAGCCATCCTCACTTTGCCGACCTGCATAACAGCTTCTTCAAAGTTATCATAGTACATTATCAATTATAGTGAATTAAGATTATATTACATGAAGATATATGTATAAATGAATCTCCCCATCTTCTAAAAACTGTACCATACCGTGATCATTGCAGTGCCATCATTAATTCAACGCACTATTGTCATGATAGCAGGATATGGTGGTACGCATACCATTCGACATTGAGAACGGCGGCAACTCGACGGCTGGTGTGGATTACGTGGAAGGACCGCGCGCCATCAAGCCCAGGAGAGGGAGACCCAGCGTAAGGGTAAGTCGTTTTAGGAAATAACTCAATAGCAACGATGAGATGTCAACTGATTGATCACACAGGCTAAAGTCCCACAAGAGACAGTTAACCTTTTTCGTGTCTGGAAAATGCGTAATACCTTCCTCGCCTCGGGTTTGCAACGAGGATATGCGAGGACACTCCTTCCTATCCATTTTACCAAGCTCTACAACTCGGTGAAATGAATATGTGAGGACACTCCTCCCTACCCATTTTACCAAGTTCTACAACTCGATGAAATGGATATGTGAGGACACTCTTCCCTATCCATTTTACCAAGCTCTACAACTCGGTGAAATGGATATGTGAGGATACTCCTCCCACCCATTTTACCAAGTCTACAACTCGGTGAAGTGAATATGTGAGGACACTCCTCCCTACCCATTTTACCAAGCTCTACAACTCGGTGAAATGAATATGTGAGGACACTCCTCCCTACCCATTTTACCAAGCTCTACAACTCGGTGAATGAATATCTACCCATTTTAACAAGCTCTACAACTCGGTGAAATGGATATGTGAGGACACTCCTCCCTACCCATTTTACCAAGCTCTACAACTCGGTGAAATGGATATGTAGGGACTCTCCTCCCTATCCATTTCACCCAGCTCTACAGCTTGGTGAAATGAGTAGAGCCTTACCCACTAAAACCACCAACAATTCTCCTACACCGGTCACTAGACACGTATTCTGAGGACTGTGGCCCCCACGATGCATTCCGAGAGTACGGGTATGATCGTGCCGCCCCGTTAGGACTGGCCACAGAAGTGGCATTTAGCCTTGGAATAATAAAAATATGTCAAAAAAAAAGAATTTTCTCACCGCCTGGGATTGACCGGACTGGAAATGAAAACAATACAGAATGCGCTAGCTGGTAACCATTCTAAAATAGTATAATTTCTAGATGGCACTGAGTTGTAAAACTACTTATAGGCAACATTTAATTTTCATCCTGGCCTTATCTGGACAAGCTGATATACAATATCTAATACGTCTTGGTTGAATACTTGTGCATAGCGTTCTGGTGGGTGGGAGACTACTGGCATATTGGGGAGAGCCGCAGAGCGCGCACTGATGCGGCGAGAGCAAGACTCGCGCAAAGCCATACACCAGCTGAAGCATTTACAGACCAGGCATATGCAGGTAGTTACTACGAACAATAATTCTTTATATTCTGTTGCTATATAATCACTTGTTTTATCACTCGTAAATTTAAAAAATAATTTTAGTTGATTCAAACTCTGTGAATTCATGAGAAATGTTTAAAATTGTAAAATACAAACGAGAAAACAATTTTTATCGGTTTACCTGTAACTTAAATAGGTACTTTTATAAAGATTATATATATATTTATAAGTTATTAGTTTGCTTTATGTGGAATAAAACAATCTTAACTTGCTGCGGTATCTGCAGGGTCCATTTATGATCTTAATAAACCATCCCGGGACACGGATGTGTCACTTCCGTTGGGATCAACGGACGCGAAAAAATCATCAAAATGGGTTCCGCCGTTGGTTTAGGATTGACGCGGGCTGTAGAATGTAATTAAAGAATACCTAAATATTTTTGAAGTTACAACGGTAGCTATCCTTGTTCTGTACAAATGTTACAGTATTCATTACATTGCTATAAAGACAAAGAAATCAATATTCTTAAATCTTAATACATTATTTTCAGGCCTAAATAATCTTGTTATTTTGTTACGTTACAGGATTACATGGACAGGGTATCTCTCTCGCAAGCAGTCAATAGCATTTGCGGATCCGACAACACCAACAACCACAATTATATTAATCTCAATAATGATCTTATGTATATGGACCAGACAGTGTCCTCGAACGTTCTCGATCCCACCATTCCATATAATAAAGAACGACCTATTGAAAGCGAAACTATAACGTCGAATTATGCCAACACTCCCATGTGCAGTTCAGCCAGTGACTCAACTAATAGTGGTATAGGCACTGCAATGTCTCAATATGTAAATGCTCTTAAAAATGCAGGATTGCCAACGGACTTGCCTATCTTATTTGAATCAGGAGACGGATCTTATATTAATGTCAACGAGCAAGTTCTTTTAGATATGGTGCAAAGCAGTGAAATACAATACGAGGTTATAGAGCAACCAAATATTATTGAGAAGGTAGCAGATCCGAGTGAAATCAAAAGTATCGATGATCTCTCCAAATCAATAGAACGGGGAGAGATGTTACTTGGAACAAAAAGCTACAATACATCTTCAAGTTTTAGTAAGGACACGAGTGAGTATAGTCAACAAGAGGAAGCTATCAATAGCTTAAATTCGATCCTCCCTGATAATTTGGACTCATTCGGCGAACAGCAAAATTTTGTAGTTCTTGATCCTGGTCTTCAAGAAAGTAATCATTCAATGGACCATGTGAATACGCATGATTTTTCAGGGATAGACAGTGACATGCAATTTTTCACAAAATCTATGAGTGATGACGTTAAAAAATATTATGAAGAGCAGCAGTTGAATGATGCTAGAGTGATGGAACAATTATGCCCGGCGAGTACTTCTTTGGATACCAGTTTTAGCATGTCTTTACTTGATACAAAATCATCGCATATAAGTGAAAACCTTTCCCAACAATACAATCCATTGAATCCAGATGACGATTTCGGTCTCCAATTACCACAAAATACTGATGATGCTCTAGACTGCCTTATGACAACCCCAAAAGAGACAGATGAGACTACAGATTACACGGATAACAATCTGCTTAGTAAAGAAAATGCCGAAAGAGACGAAATAATCAAAGATCTCATGAATATAGAAAGCAATGTAAATACGGTAGGTACAAATTCCAAAATAGAAAATTTTAGTGAACATTCACTGAAAAATATGGAGCTTGAAACTGATAATAATACAATTGATAACGCCGAAGACTTATCTGAAAATATAAATTCCAGTGATCTGCAATGGGATGCCATGGATATTACTACTAAAGAAAATTGCAGCGCTTCAAACGAAAATAAATCAAGCAATTGTAATCAAACTAATGATATACCTGAAAATCAATTTCGAGAATCTGTACTTGACTTAACAAATTCGTTAAAAGAAAAATCAGATTGGGAAAACATTATGAATGATAATAATGGAATTATGAATAAGGAAAACTGTTTTCCAAATGAAAATCCTGTAAACAACTCCAATTTAGAGGACGACATTCCTTATGCTGTTGGGTTACAGCCTTTGAAAAAGGATCAGCAAACGGAAGATTTAAGTATACACAAAAGAAAACAATCGCTTGATGTGGATATGTTAGATAATGTCGATGCAAAGTGTTTGAAACGTAAGATGAAATATAAGAAGTTGTGACATTTATAGTATTATTATAAATATACCAATAAATGAAGAACAAAAGAGATTTTATTTTATAAATCATGTTCAAATAATTTTTGTCTATTTGGTTTGGTAGTTTGTTACTAATCCACATTTTTTTGCAGCAAATTTGCTAAATCTTGGTCCAACCAAAACTAGATTAGCTCATAGAAAAATGTCATAACGTTAATGTCAATTTGGACATCATTGTATGGACTATAACTAGTGATATCGAGGTTTAGCAAAATTGCTGCAGGCGGTGGACCTTAAAGTCTAACACTTTAGCAAGCCCGGGCCATTTCTGTGATTTATGGCATACGCAAACAAGAAAGTAAAAGTACCGCGTACAAAAAGTCCCTCGAACAACCGAGGGACACCGAGATCGGACTGAAGTACGGGGATGTCCCCGAAAAAATAGAACTCGTGTGACTAGGCGCAGCATACAGGGAACTAGGCAATATAGTCTGCGCTGCGCGCTCGATCCAATCATAGCAAATAACCCTCTTAAAAAAGTATTATCTCCTCTTTTTCTTCAGCTTCAGTTAATTAGTCCGGTGTGAATTTATTTTTCACAATTCGCGGTTTATTCCCTTTACGGAAAAAGAAAGCGAGCGCGGGCCACTAGTTACGAAATAAAATTTAGACTTTCTTGTGGGTCGTTTATTGTAAACATCAGTCACCAACATTTATAAGGCATTTGTTAAGGGTTATTATAATAAACGTTTTGTTGGCGTACAAATATACAATACAATTGTACCATATACATTCTTCTTTGTACTATACATACAGCATCCCATAAAAAAATACTCTTTCTCAAAAATAATATAATGTGATGTGCTTCGTGATAGTTAAATTATTCTGCCCATGTCGATTTATTCGATTGGATATATTACACTTATTTCTGTTAATATTTATTGAACATGCCCACAATGTCTCAGTTCTTATACTACCTTAAAATAGAACATGAACATGAAAATGGCTCGGATTAGTGGTATGTATACTCCACAATAAAAGTACTTACGTCAATTCATTGCAATACTCTTAATAACTACGAGATTCTAAAACCTGGACGTAAATATTAAATTCGCGAGTGTTAATCGTTGAACCCTTCTTCACTCAGGCATAACTATTTAATTAACATGTAATTACGTGAAAGATACATATTCCATATTTGTCGGTTCACTGTTTTTTTTCCATTTCCATGTAATTGAAATGTTTATTGGGTATCAATATCATGATTATTTTCAAGGGATAGCGTGTTCTTTTGAAATTGGCGTCAATAATTAACACTAGTGATTTATAACAAATTACAATACTCTCTATTTAAGTTTGTTCATTGTATAAGTAGTTTACCTTTTTTTTCGCAAAAGCGTGTTTGCCAATTAGAGTATACCGACAAGTTGTATAGTAGTCCGGGCAAATCGTAATGTTTCGTCGAAAACGTGGTAACTAACTAATCTAACTTGTAACAAACTTAAAGAGCTAATATTGCAATACCTTAATGTATTTAAAATTTTATTGTCAGGTAATGACAAAGGTAGATTAATATTAATTTAGTATAAAAATAATTTGCCTGTTCCAATATTGTCTTTGATTGCAGCTGTGTGCCAAAATTAGATAAACGGATTAACCCCAAGTTGGTAAGTCTTTTGAACAATTTTTTATATAGAAATACATACAAAACAACTATTACTGGAGTACAAATGCTCGTTTTCATCACACATACATCTGCCCCCACCGGAATTCAAACCCGGGAACAACGGCGACACCTTGAAACCCGGCGTACAAACCACTCGGCTACGGAGGTCGCCAATATTAAAGTTGATACTCCTTAACATGGGTAGAAAATTGACACAATTAAGCAATCAAAGGCGTAGAAATTGCTTTCTTCTAAGAATAGTACCTTTGCTGTAAGAACGTACAGACACTGCAGTTGCACAACACTGCGCGACATAATAATGCTAAATAATAAGATAATATACAATATTGAAACAGATCCGCGACATCTTAAAGTAAAACAGTGATTAAAGCTATATTTAAAAGCTAAAGATCAACTTACTTGTAATAAATTACACAAAATAAAAGATATAATTATCTTCAACATATTGATACTGAAATATATAGTAAAAAGTATAAAAGAAAGACATAGTTTAAAATATAAACGCGGCTGGATAATAATCACAACCTAGACGTAGAAAATGCATTCATATCATGATAACAATAAGAAGTGTAAAACACTGTAAATAATATCATAATTAATTATGGAATATAAAAAAGCTGTCTTTAAAGATATGTTTGTGTCTGGTTAATATCACGACAATTGCAAATAAACAGCGATCACTAAAAATATCAGAGATTCTATGGTTAAAGTATGAGTATTGCTAGCGGTACCTCTGACGTAATACCCATAGGAGTCACTATGGTAATCACCCATCTGGAATGTGATAGCGGGTGAGGACATCCGCCCGTCCCCACCGTTCGAATAAGCGAGCACACGGAGGTTGTAAGACTTGCCTGGAGTCAAGTTAGTGACGTACGCCTCCAGATTATGTTCCACTGGCACTATGGTATCGTTGGCAGTGCTCATGTCTTGGTCGATTTCCCAAACACGCACCTGAACATAATAAAGATTTGCTGGGTAAATCATAATAATTTCCTTTATTAAAACTACTAGCATATTTTTTTCTGTTGGTCTCAAAGTGTACTGGTCTTGGTACGGTGAGATTCTTGAAAAAACCACACACTACCACTAGCAAGAATACGTTGAACGTAGACGCGCTTCCAATAAGACGGAACACCTTAATAGTGGGAAAATAGAGAAGAATTTGCTACAGGCAAAACACGGGAAACCATGACGCGTCGTGTCACTTGTTGAGCCTTATACCTACCTGGTTTAGACTATGCCCATGCCGCTGCCCCTCGCGTTGCCGGCAATAATTCCCTAAATTTAACTGCGGCATGATTGAGAGAAGTATGTGTTTACATACTGCCCTACCTCTCACTTCGCTTCAGAGTTTCGGCAATGGTAGACGTCGAAGTAATTACAGCGGCCGAGCTGTGTCTTTTTGCAATCCATAATTATGTTTGAAATTTAAAAATATATCAAGTACAAAAAAAGAAAGTTCGTCGTAGAAGATGGTGGATGTTATCTATCCATCGTAATAGAACTTTGTAAGTAGCTACCAACCCACATAACTGTTATTTAAAAGCTTTTATATAACTTGCAATGTATGTAATGTATGTTTGTTCGTTCGGGTGAAATCTTGCAGCTCAATTATCAATCTCAATTCTCAATTTTCTCAAGCGACGCGCAGAGTGTGAACACGCATTGTCACTCGCGCTGCCGGTCCTTTGACTTCCGCACAAAAAATCGCTCTTTTGGGGAGCGCCGGGCAGCGCGTGTGGTTTGACATGACGAGTATCGTGTTTACATACTCGTCATGCCCACTTCCCTCCTTACTCGCGCTGCATGTAAACGAGGTATAAACTAGGTATTAGTCAGCGGGTTGCACGTAGCACCTGACAACGCACACAGTGGACGGGTTGACGGCCCACACGTTGACGGAGGCCGGCGGTTTCAAAGCAGCCTTGCGGAACGTGTGGTCTAGAAGAAACTAAGAACATACCTTGTAGCCAATGAGAGGCTCCTCTTCGTCAGTGGGCTTCACGTCTTGACGTCTTGTTGACGTAAGCGCCAGATGAAGAGCACAGTGGACGGTTGCCGGTGGTTTCTAGAGAGCCTAGCGGAACGTGCGCTCAGGGTATCATTAATAACATACCTTGTAGCCAATAAGAGGTTCCTCTTCGTCAGTGGGCTGCACGTAGCGCCAGACGACGCGCACAGTGGACGGGTTGACGGCCCACACATTGACAGAGGCCGGCGGTTTCTGGGGAGCTTTGCGGAACGTACGCTCCAGGAAACGCTCGCTCTCGGGACCTTCGCCCGCGGAATTGAACGCCATTACCTAATCAACATTGTTCAATTAGAATTTGGTTCTAAAAATCCCTCCTTTGTTACTTAATAAAATTGTAAAATTCACTAATTACAATTGAAACTATATAAAAAGTAGGTTTGGTACATAATAATAATGCAATAACAGTGTACTGTAAAATGATACTCCAGAAAATGTGCTGTTACAGTATAGGTTTGCAATTCGAAAAAATTTCGCGCAAAGCAGCCTCGCTCTGACGTTAATCGTACGAGGATGCTATATACACAACAACAGTGCAAGTACATTTTGGTGCAAGCAAGCAAATGCAGGCGAGACAAACAACATCTGTCATAAATGAGACTAGGTTCTTACGTCAAACTCATCTCAAGACTGCACTGCTAATGGCTATATTTAAGGAATTCGGAATAGAGAAATTACTAATCTTTAGTTACCTTGACAAAGTAATATGTGTCTGGTTGCAGTCCCACAATCAAAGCCCAATTTATCGTAGTTCTCGATAAATAATATATGCATTCTTCTTCTTTGTTAGCTTGTTTCCAATACTTAAGTCTATGACCAATTAGTTTGCCTCGAAGTCTTTCACGTGATTGATCTATCGGATTCCAAGTCACATTCAAGGATGTAGAATTGAATGATCGCGCAGAAACTTGCTGCGGTGCAACCTGCGGCATATCTTCGGCGGAGTATATAGTCACTACCTCGCTCTCTGGGCCCGCACCCAAGTCATTGAATGCTTGCACTTTGACATTATAAGGAGTAAAAAAGTAGCTTAATGATATATGTACAACGTGCATTCCAACGTTTCCATACTCTTTAAGGACAAGTGATTGGAATTCAACCTCGGTGCCATTGCGTCGCCAAAATATTTTATAGTAAACTCCAGGTCCATTTTGAAGTGAAGGAGGCAATGGCGTCCAACTGATAGTAAGATCGCCAATCTTTCCTCCACCACCGCCAATATTTTTAGGTGCTTCATGCGGTTTGTCTGGTAAAGTTGAGAATTGTGGGCTTGGAGCTGAAGGTGTACCAATACCTAAAGCATTAACAGCTTGGACTCTAAATTCGTAGACTGACCATGGATGGAGATTAGCAGTGACTGAGGCACGTTTACGTCCATTATACCTATCAATTTCAACAACATTAGGCACATTTTCACTAATGATTATCCAAGTTGAGTTCCAGTTTGTACGACCCGTTATAACATATCCAGTGATAGGACGCCCATTAGAATTACTATCAGTCCACTCGAGAGTCACAGACGATCGTTGTATATTAAGGACTTGCAATCCTCCTGGAGGACCTGGAGGACCTTCAATGCGTAACTGAGTGTGTGAAGAAATACGTCCAATTGCTGATTTCACAACACATTCATAATCTCCAACATCAGATAGGCTTACATTTAAAATTGTAAGTTCTCCCCCATCTATCTTGATTCTTTTATCAGCATAATAATCTGAGGCGTCTCTTATTCTTATTCCATTGTGATTCCAAAGATATGCCGTATCTAAAATGGGATCTATTTCAGCATTACAATGCAAAAATACTACATCATTGACTTGAGTAGTAAGGCGCGATGGAAGGCGCTCTATAAAGCGTGGTGTTCGCAATACTATAAGACGGCCTCGACTTTCATCAGTTCCATACTGATTCTTGGCAACACATGTATAAACTCCTTCATCATCTCTAGATAGCTGCCGTATTATGAGATTACCACTTTCAGTAATAAACCTCTTACCCCCAGCTCCAATAATTATATTATCTTTCTTCCATGTAAATGTTGGTTTAGGTGCTGCTTCAGGATTGCATCTTAGTGTTACATTACCACCTTCAGATCCGTATGTTTCAGATTCTAAAGGATGCTTTTTGAACGAAGGCTTCAGTGACAGGACACGCAATTGAGCTGATGAAAAGCTTGCTCGTAACTGATTGCTGGCTTCACATTGGTACATACCAGGATCTCTTTGTGGGTCTAAATGTTTTATAATGAGGACATTATCTTGTATCAGATATCGGTCTCTTTCTTCTGGTTCTAATGTCGCCATAGACAACTTGTTACCATTTTTCCACCAAGTATAATTGACATCAGGAATGCCAAAAGCTTCACAATTCCAATGTAATTCTCCTCTATTATCAACATGTTTATCTGATAGTGGAATAGTGAAATTAGGATAAGCCATTACTTTCAAAAATACACTATTGGATATTCGGGCCCTGTCATTCCTAACATCACAAATATATTCACCTTCATCTTCTACACCAACGTTTGGTATAGTTATAACACGATCATAATTGCTCATTTGGGCCTTTCTTGGAATATTACCATTTCTTCTAGTCCAGTTGTATGATGGTACAGGGTAACCAAAAGATATACATTCTAATCTCACTTCCTGGCCCACTACAGGAGCTTCAGGGAAAACTTTGGGAAAGTTATTGGGAAATTTTAACTGCTGGTAATCAGAATGAGGATAAACAAAAAGTGGAAAGAGTGGACCATTTCGGCCCGCATCTGAAAACTTACTCATTACATTACAACTGTAATTTCCTCTATCAATTGTTTCCAGTGCGGAGAAATATAAGCCACCATCATTTGAAACAAAAACTCTCTTATCCTCTTCTACTAGATTTGGGAAAGAAGTACGAGCCCACAAAAAGTTAACAGATGGATAATAGGAAGGAGGATCACAATACATAACTTTTCCCCAGTATTGATTCCCTGTCTCAACAGATCGTTTCTGATTGAATTCCCTAATAAAACCAAATGACAATCTAACTGATCCTGATCTAATTGTTCCATATTTGTTTGTAGCAGTACAGTGATGCTTGGCATTGTCTTTATCAGCATCAGGATTGTAGATCATTAATGTCCCACCACTGATAACAAATCTGGGATCTGCCAAGGGGTCAATTTCAGTAAACACTGCATTATCTACTTCATAGTCTTCCCTATACCACTTATATACAGGGGCAGGATATCCACCAGAAATACAAGTTAATTGAACATAATGATTTCTCCGAGTATCATAAATGGTGTCAACTGGTTCTTTTATGAAGTAAGGCCCCCTTGGTATTCTCTCAGGATCATATGTCTCCAGTCCATATGTAAATGACCTCTTCTCTTCAAGAAGATAATGTAATCTCTGTATTTGGCCTTCGCAGATAAAATGGTAATACTGTGTCCCTTCAACTGCAGCCAAACCCCATCTTCCATCTTGGTGTGAAAACCTATACACCAAGTAGTCTTTAGGTAAAATATTATAGCTATTGTAAATCGACTGACGATCATCGAAGAAAGCATTCTCCAGGCCTGTAAGTTGTGACCCATCTGCATCATTAGCCCAATAACCTGGAGACTGTTGATGCCCTGAAACATACCAGGAACCTTTTTGAGGATCTAACTTCATAAGGTTGGTAATTATGAAACCATGTTCTTCAGGACTTCTTATAGCTGCTAAATCTGCTTCATAAGCCTGACAGATTTTACGAGCCTCATTTCTTGGGCGGTTTGGGGACTTCGTGAAGCGATAACAGGATTCCCGGTACCGAATCCAGTTCGGTGGACATCTGTGTCTCTCTTCAAAATCAATTCCAGCATAGCTCAATTCGTGCGAATCTACTTCATTATTATCAAAATCGTCGGAGTTAAAATCATCTCCTGACTGATAAAAAGAACTTTGTGCTTTATTATAATCATTCCCGTTAACAGCAAAACTACCGTAGGGTATTTGATTGTTGGGTCGGTAGGAGGATTCGTTTTTATTAGGATCACTTAAAAATGGTTGCTGTTGGTAATTCGGGTTAAAAGGATTCTGCTCCAACACCTGAGTTTCCACAAAACTCGTTACTGCCAAGAGTAACAAATAATAAATCATTTTCTGTAAAGAAAAATGAAAGTTTAACATGAATAAAAAGTAAATATTACAGAGAATTTCATGGTAACCTTATTTTAAACTATACCTACATTTAATGGAAAACATGTATACAATTTAAAATATACTGAAATAAATAGTATTTCTAAAACATTTCCCTCACAAACAATGACAAGAGGAAGAAACACAGCGAATGAGTGAAGAAAGCCTCGCCCAGACACATCAGTCACAACAAAATTCAAAAATTAATGACTTATGTATAAACGTTCAAAATCATTTTTTTGCTCGCCAAAATTTGCCATGACGACCGCAACTTTTTTTAATGAATTAGCAATAAAACAAAACATTTTTAAGACTATAACTAAAAAAATGTAATTTTGATAATAATTTAAGCCAAGATTATTGGTTAAATTGATTTTAATATTATTTTCGGTTCTATGCATTTCTAAACGAAACATCGTTTTTTAATTTGATTTCTCACGAAGACAAAGAATATAAAGTTCATACAGTCTAGTCTTTAGTGTTTGCCAGGTGATATAAAACGCTTGTAAAACGCTCACACTTTATGGGATTGCTATGGCTATCGCTATCGCTCTCAATTTCATTTTTTATTTCTGACCGTCTTAGGTTTCAAATACCTCACACTTATTTTCCTTATTACAAACACAAAAGAAAAAAACCGTGAGGCATTTGTAAACCTTCGGTGGTCAGAAATAACAAAATGAAATCTTAAGATCGCCTAACGGATGGACTCACAGCTTACGTCAGATTGACCAAGGTGCCATTGTAAAAAGCCCGTTAGCTACCCCTATTTACCCAAAGAAAACAGTTCAAAAGTGGTAGCCGCTTTCTGACAGCGATGAAACATATTATTTAAAAGCTTGTTTTGTGTAATAAAAGAAACAGATGTTTATATTTTTCATTTATCTTCGATTTATTTTAAATCGTGTTTGAAATTTTTTATTTATTATTTGTATATTTACACATATTTACATTTAAACAACAAATACTTAAAAACTACATGATTACATAAATTTACATTCCAAATAAACTTAACCTACTTAATTACTTAAATATATATAAATTACAAAATAAAAAATATGTCACCCCCAGCGCCGCCGTCATGAATGGTGGCCAATAGGCTGGCAGCATTGCCACGTTGGATGGCAATGCTGATCCGTAGACCTAGACAGCTGCCAGCCTTTTGATCACTAGTCGCTTTAGTGAGCCTTTTGACAGTTCCTTATAAAAGGAACGAGCGCTTGGTCCCCATGAGTCCATAGTCTCAACACCAAACGGCACAAATATGTAGTTCTCATTGAGAGCTGAATATTTGCGCCACTTGGAGCACTCGGCAGAAGCCGCTGCCGCTCCTGCAGCTAGGGAGGTACTCCCTGTATGGCACGGAGCTAGCGTATCCACGCAAGTTGCGTCCCATAAAAGAGGACGACCCTGCTTCCAGGGAATGAGCGTCATACCGTCAGGTCTCTTGCCATCGTCGCGAAATATGCCGTTAGGCTCAAGGGCATGGTACATTGACAGCGACAAGAGCTCTGCGGATGACGTCATTGATGCAAGCGTGGCGGGAGACTCGGAAAGTTTGAAAATTTAACAATTGAGAATTAATAAATAAAAGAAATTAGCTGGAGAATAACAAGAATAGACTGATGTCAAATTTAAGTTTAAGTTTAGAGAATCATGCCAGAATCGACACCACTTTCAAGTGGACGTGACAACTTTATCGTAGTGTGAACTACCTCACAGAAGCTTATCGGAAAAACCAACTGGATACATTACGTGCCTAACACTCCAAGTAACATTAAAATGCGTTACACCGACATTCTAATGTAAAAAAAGAAGATTAATATTTGTATTTTCGTATACGACTGAATGATTGTATCTGTATTAGTTAATTTACGTCAACTGAACTCAATTTTTTTAATGTGTTTGAGTTGTTCATTTTAAGTAGGAAGTAATATTTGTGACTACTGCATCGACTTTAGACATTCTATCACCAGGAGAAAGAACGATTGTTTATTTTGAGTGACAGGCTTGTGAAACGGGCTTTACACTACCCAACTTTAAGGGCCCGATCGAAAATGAGGACGTGGCCCCTAGCTAGTGGTAGCATTTTACACCGCTGCACCGCATCGCCTTAGAACTCCTTTACTCCCTAACCACATTCAACCACCCTTATTCAGGGTAAGAGTTTCTTAAAATTGGGTAGTGTAAATCCCGCATTATTTAACAGGGCACGCCGCCGCGCCGCCCGGGGCGGTAGGCTTGGTTTTAAATAAATAAATATTTCCAACTCCCAAATTAAGCACTGTTGGCTTGTATTATGGGATACTAGAGTAACGGATAGAATACATATACTGATACGTTATATACGTAGTATATTTTTAAAGAAATACATATTAAACATCCATGACTGGAGTACAAATGCTCGTATTCGTCACACAAACATATGTCCCCACCAGGATTCGAAACCGGGACCTCTCGAGTAAGCGACGCCTTTTAACCCGGCGTAGAAACCACTCGCCCGTGGAAGTCGTCAAAAAATAAATTTTAAGTGTAGAGAGATAAAAAGGGGCTGTATCTTTTAGGATTCTAAGTATCTATTCTGTTGTTATTCGTAGCAGTACGCACACGGTCTAATCTAAATATTGTGAAAAAATCGCGCCGCTCACACACACACCTTCGCCTCCTTCACAGCCTCATAAAGTGGCAGTAAAATAATTAATTTCTATAAAACTAGTCCGAGTAGGATTTCCGGGAATGTTAATTTGTGCACTATTTATATTTTTCTTTCATTTCTAGTACTTATATATTTTGACATGTTGAGACTTGTATTTCTAATTTTCTTTTTTTAACTTTTGATTAGGTACGAATAATTAGTTAGAAATTATACTAGAAAAAGATCCGAGTACCTAGGATATCTAAAAACAATAGGTTTTTAAAATCGTTTAGATTTAGAATAAAAATGTAGCTTCAAAAATATAGTTACTTAATAAAATAAAAATTGACACTCTTCATTGTTCACATTTTTATTTTCGATTTATTGTTATCAACAAGAATTGTATCAATAGGTAATTACAATAATACTTACACTGTAGGTACTGCTAATAACAGATAGGTTTACAAGATTTTATTCCCATTCAGAAAAGTATACACGCTGCATAATTAATCGTCAGTTCCACATATTCCTATAAGTATTCGTTAATTTCGACTCTAATCCGCGAGCAAGATTAATCATTCTAAAATTCATCACAGATTTATCATGTACTTCTTCGTTTCTTGTTTTCTCGTAATAAGTAGGGCGGAACTTGACTGATATTAAAATATCATAGGTAGGTAGGTACCTTCTGTACAATCAAGTACAGGTACACTTATGTTGGTAGGTGAAATTAAATGCCTTTTCATACATATTATAATTAATGAAGTATATAGATATAACATTTAGACAAGATATAGCTTGAAAATAATTTAAAAATAATTTGATTACATTCATTATATTTACAACATTAGAAATTGCGATATGCATAATAATGATTTAATAAATTTTCCTAATTTCATTACTAAGTGTATAAATAAAAACATAACTCAATTTACACAATAAGTAAAATAATTATTGTACAATAATAAACTTAATATATCAGGCAGATTTAGCAAACATAACAATAAACAAAATAATAATTGCGAAGGTTTGTATAAAGATTCTAATAATTAAAATACTAGCATAATCTCAAAACTATCAGCGTAAAGATTGTATACTATAGACGATTGTAGAAGATTAAGTAAGTAAACCACAATTTGGTGATGGTAATATGATACGAAAATATAATCTGGAAAATACCAGCTTCTGCTAATTTTCAGTATTCTTGCTTATACAAGTGATAGCAGCATACGATACGTATTGCACTTATTCATAGTTTATTGATTTAAGTACGGTTATCGTGTGCTTAAGGCGTCGTCCAACCCTGTGCCGGATACCTCACCCTCCATTCGTACAAATTCATCTACAAATTAAACGATATACTCACGTATACTATTGCACACACGATTTAAGATTATGCTAACTCCTTATAAGTATTATGTATATTATGGTAACTTTATCTTTCTATTATTAGATATTTCCTATTTATAATAATTACCTAAACGAACCAACTTACCGCAGCATTTTGATTATTTTCTAATCTTTTAACTAGCCCAATGTACCACTCACCGACGTTAAATAGCACCCATGACAAATATATATTATACACTTAAAGCAAAATTTACGCAAATATACCTACGTTCAATAATATTTACAATATTTACATGTATTGTTCAATCAAAGGATATCTACAGTCACTTGAAATTGGGCGGAACCCATTAAATATACATTGAAAATGATTATTTGATTATGTAATGGCTGCCTTAAATTACACAGTCTCATGAAACAAATATTTATTTATAACATTGTTCTTAAATGAGATACATCTTGTTTAGATTACAATAATCAGTCAACTAGTTAAAAAGATCTCGTTGTTGAGCCGTCAGCCTCCTCAAATATGCCGTATACATTTTCTCTGTGATTAGACTTAAAACTAATAAAAAAAAATTTACATCGATCTCCAAAAGTGATGTATATATTAATGTTAAGCGTACTGGACGTATCAATAACTATGACACAAATATTATTACGCCCCTTCTATTCATTATTGTATCTGTGGTAAGATATAGGCCATTACCGGGTAAATTGCGAGCTCATGCAAAAAGTATCATGAAGAAATGAAAAAGTCGCCACCACATAACTTGTGGTGTGTGGGCGTAAACAAAGAGAGAGCTGTGCTGCTAGGGACGCATGTCCCATGCGACTTTTAAATTTACTAGAACGCGCTTTTCAATTTGCTTAAACGACATTATGAAAAGCGGAATAGCTACACACTGGTACACATTACCTGTTATTTTGGAAATAATAATTAGGTATTCCATATATCGGTTTCATCTATTAAGGACGCTCTTAATTTTGAGTATCTGTTTAAATTTATTAGTGACACAAACAAGTGCCGTTTTACAGGAATACATATCTCATGTTGGATCATTCTCAATCATCGATAGATTCACGTCAAATCCAGTATTCGGTTAGAGCAGTGGTTCTCAAACTTTTTAAATGACGGAACCCTTTTGGGAAGCAAAATACTTGATGGAACCCTACAATAAAACAATTATTTTTATAAGTGTATTCTATATTAATCAGCATAATAAAAGTACAATGTATCCGTTACTAATTATTATTTACTTCACCACTTGGTAAGGACAATAATAGAAAACATTAAAAAAGAAAAAATCTAACTAGTGGGAGGTATGAAACTGTTTTTTATTTTTCATCAATTGCTTGATATCAGGTTTGATGGAAGAAAGTTGGAGTCTCATATCAGCTTCGGCGTCCAGTCTATTGCGATATTTTGTTTTCGTGGCTGCGTAGGTAGAGAATCCTGTTTCGCACAAATATGTAGTTGGGAACGGGAGAAGAATATCCAGAGCCATTTGGCCAAGCATTGCATATTCATCTTGGATTCTGCACCAAAAATCATTAAGAGGCGTCGTTTTGAACAATGACTCCATACTTGTGTCTGATGACATTTCTAAAAGAGATTCATATATCTCATTTGACATGTTTTCAGGCTTTTCCAAGTTGGGTAAAAAAGGATTATGAATCCAGGAGTTCACTTTAATTTTTGTATTGTGTTCTTCGGGAAAATACTTTTCAAAAGATGCGCGCATCGAACTGAGATATTGGACCAATTCTTCAAACACATTATCTTCAAACATTTCTGAGTCGTTTTCGCTAACAAACTCAGTGAGTAACGTAAAACTTTCTATTTCTTTCTTACCAATGCAAATGATCCAAAAATCTAATTTTCTTTTAAAAGTAGTTATTTTATTATAGGCCTGAAACACTGTTGTCTGTTTACCTTGCAATGATAAATTTAATTCGTTAAGTTTTTGAAAGATATCCGCCATAAAAGACAATCGGAACAACCAAGTTTTATCATACAAACGGTCCTTCAAATTAAAAGAAGTATCTGCTGAAAGAAACATTTGTAACTCGGCTCTAAGTTCAAATAGCCTTGTTAAAGTTTTTCCCCGAGACAGCCATCGCACTTCTGTATGGAGCAGCAGTGTTTTATGTTTGCTGCCATAATCTTCACACAATAATGAGAACAATCGGGATTGTAGTGGTCGTGATTTGATAAAATTAATTATTTTTACCGCTTCATCCATAACTAATTTTAGATTAGACGGCATTTGCTTCATCGCAAGTGCTTGTCTATGCAGAATACAATGACTGGAACTACAATTAGGCGCTTTATTTTTCATTCGTGACACTGCTCCTGCTGTTTTACCTGTCATCGCCTTGGCCCCATCTGTACAAATGTCAATGCAATTGTTCCAACTGAGATTATGTTCTTCAAAAAATATATTTATTTTATTAAAAATTTCTTCCCCGGTAGTGTTTGTAAGCAGCGATGAACACATAAGCATGTCTTCTTGAAAAGAACTTTTATATGGATATCTCACAATAACCAGCAGGATAGCCAAACCAGCGACATCAGTCGACTCGTCCATTTGCAAAGCGAATCGTGTATTTTGTAGACGTGTAACTAGTTCTTGTTTGACGTAGCTTGCCAGATCATGGATTCGTCGTGAAACAGTATCGTTTGATAGCGGAACAGTAGAAAGATGCTTTGCAGATTTTTCATCAAGCATACATTTTGTTATGTCTAATACACATGGTTTTATTAATTTCTCAGCGATAGTGTGCGCTTCACCTGCTTGTGCAATGCGATAGCTAACTAAGTATGATGCCTCCGTGGCCTTTTCGTTGGTAGTTTGTGTTACATGCATCATATTTTTTTGACTTTCTAATAACTGATCTTTTTTGCGAACAAAAAATTCTTTATTCTTGTCTTTAGTCTCGGGGTGTACGGTTTCTAAATGTCGACGCAATTTGGCAGGTGCCATGGAACTATTAGGAAGCAGTTTACTACAGAGCATGCAGAGAGGTGAGCCGTTGGAATCAACAAATCCGAAACTGATATAAGATTCATCATACTTCCTTTTTTTCGTCTTTGAAACCGTCGAGCTTGACGTCGTGGCACTCGTGGCATCATCTTCTGGATCGGTGATTGCTAAATTCTCCGCGCGCATTGCTTTTGAACATTCAGCGTCATTAGAAGATGTTGTTGGAACACGTTTAACACCTTTAAGCCAACGTTCCATTCTTCTTTATTTATAATGTTACAAGTCAGGATAGTGGGGTTTAAATAATGCACAATCGTTACTGCGTATAAGAGACTAAATTTAGAACCTACAGGGAAGAAATGTATAAAACTGAGACAACAGAATACAGCAGGCAGTAAAACAATGAACACCAGTTTCTCGCTAGCGAGCTTGTAAGTAGGTAGTAACTTATCGCTCCGAACGCTAATCATCAACTGACGACGCCAACGCGCGATCGCCGCTTTTATACTTAGTCCTAGACTCGATCTCAAATATTCTCGAAAATACTCGAGTCGGCACCTTTGATAAACAAAAAGCAAAAATAAAAACAGAAATTTAAAAATAGCGTTGTAAACAATATCGACTTTATCCTTTGAAGTTAGAGACGAAAGTCGCTAGTTGACAACTATAGCGTCTAATTCAGAGGCGGCTTTTATCAAAGAGACTGAGCGCTTACAAGTATACTACCCGCTCGTTTTAAGTTTGCCGCTGGCGATAGGTATGAGTGTATGACGTTCGAAATTTTTTATTTAATTGTAACAATAAAAATTGTGTACGTTAGATATTTGGGTAAAACTATGACACATTATAAGTTTTGTTGTCACGTGGGGGAGGGTACGCGCATTCCACAGACCGGCAAACTTAGAGCGAACGCGTTGTACAAGTATAAAATTGTTGAGACCAAACTTATGAGATATTGTACCAGCTAATGTAACACAAGCTTATACAAATACAAATAAATAAATAAATAACATTCATAGCGTTTTGTCTCCGCGCGGCCGCGGAGTCCGCACAGCCGCGGAGCGACCAGAGAGAGGTGTTTTGATTTTTTTATTTCTAAATTCTTGCGGAACCCCGACAGAGGTATCACGGAACCCTAGGGTTCCGCGGAACACACTTAGAGTATAGCTGGGTTAGAGCATCAAAAGTGAGGGCGCATCGTGACGAAGTAAATATTAATCATACTTCACTCATTATTAGCCACACCTTCAAAGCCCTATATTCAGGTTGATTGTTGTTTTTTAGTTGCTTCCAATGTTTTAGTCTCAGCTGTTTGAGAAGTTGTTGCTGAAGCGAATCAGCGCATCGGCCGTGTTCCTCCATGGCGCCATCGGTAGGCGAAACGTCCACCTACTACTGCGTCGAGGAAAAGCTACTTTCACTTGTTTCTTAATTTTAAATTCCGAATTCCCGATGTTTTATTAGTGTCAGCTGATTAGAACGGTCTCGATCTTGAGCAACTGGCGCAGTTTGTCGGTGACGCGCACCAGCGCTACCTTGGAGGCGCGGACGTTGACCTTTTCGCCGGCGCACAACAGCTGGTGGCACTGCGCCCGCTCGAGGAACTCTTGGGTGCGAATCTCGCGCAGAAGCTCCCTAGGCGATCCAGAACCGCAGTGGATCTGCTTCAGTAGGCTGTCTTTAGATTTTATCTGGAATGTGAAACGAAGGTTGATATCAGGTCAGGTTATGGTTCCGGAGCTTATGGATATGGGAAAGATTTGCTAATAGCCTAGACCCGATATAACTTACTTACTTACTTACTTAATCTATTGGAAGTCGAATCTACTTTATTTTATTTATTTTATTATCAAATACAATCATACACATACAAATTAAAAAAACCATACACGAAAACCTGTTAAGGTTTATATGTGTATGGGAGCCACTCATTTACCACTTTATACACTTTCAAGTTGACTATTTTGTAAGTAATAGCTTTTAAATTTATATTTATATTTATTGATTACAATGTTCGAGTACATTTCCTGTAGATTACTAGGCAATTCATTGAGATAGGAAGGTATTAAATAACAAAGCTTTCTATTCCCGTGGACATTATTACATTTCGGCAACAAAAACTTTCTACGATCCAACACATTTCTCAGATTATCCGGTCTCTTATCCGGTATATTCAAGTACTTAGTCTCGTTACATTCGGTTAGAATTACGTATTTTACCTTGTCATAAACATTCATCACATTACAATATCGAAATAATTCTTGTGCGTTACCTTTATATTTAACTTTTATATATTTGGGTACAATTATCTTTCGCATTTTATACTGAATTTTATATATATCCTCTATGTATGTCTTATAAGTTCTTCCATAACTACTTAGGCCATAACTTACAACAGATTCAGCTAGAGACAAATATATGAGTCTAAGGGTTCTGTATGGTAGTTTATTTTTTAATATAGATAGTCTACTCGCGATTGATCTTAACTTGGCGCATACGTAATCTTTGTGAGGTCCCCAGCAAAATCTCTCGTCAATCAAAAGACCCACATACATATGTTGTTTTACATTATCAATTGGCTGACACGTGCAATTATATGTCGGGTTATGAATACAATTATGATTGTGACCCACCACGGTGGGTGTGATGTCAGCTTTATTGTGAGAGGTGTGAATATGCAATAACTTAGTCTTTTGAGCGTTCACCACCAAACCAACGTCATGGGCCCAATTACATACGATATCAAAATTATTTTGCATTATTTGTTCAGCTTTACTTACACTTTTGGCGGCTATTACCAAGCAGGTATCGTCTGCGAATTGGTACACCGATCCCTCTTTAATAAGTGAACACATATCATTGACATAAAGTAGATATTCCATTGGGCCAAAGATGGAGCCTTGAGCCGTGCCTCTCTTTGTTAGAGTCATGTTACTGTACTGATCACATATTTTAACTACAGAGTGGCGATTCGTGTGGTAGCTTTTGATAAGCTGCAGAAATGGACCCCGTATACCGCATTGAGTTAGCTTATGGTAAAGAGTACTATATTGTAACATGTCAAATGCCCGACTAAAATCAATAAAAAACACTAAAATGTGTAATTTATTATTTAAATGGTCATTAATTTCGTCTGTAGTTAAAATATGACCAAGGAGTTTATGAAAATCCTAGCTATTACTGAAAATCGTAGTTTGATCCCTGATCAGGCACTATCTCTATAGGTTCTTATCAGCCTACAAGAATACCAAAATCAACCAAAATTACTCAATTATCTGGTACAATTCGAATAAAAAACACAGATATATACTTTTAATAGGATATTACAGAACAAACAGATAAGTACGTTAATTTAATAAATCACGAAGGAAACGGATACTGAAGTTCAATGTCAAAACTATTGTTCGATCCGATTTAATATTAACTGGGTCAGTACGATGAACCGCAAGTGGTGTGTGCATTGCAATACTGACTTAAAGTAAATCAGTAACGTTCTTTGCAATTCATTGCATGGGACATTAGGAATTATTTGAAGTAATTCCTAATGTCCCATGCAATTCTGCCGTCCTAATGAAGTTTCATTTAAATTTCAGAGCCATTTTCTTAAAAAGATGTCAGAGCTCATACTGCATTTTTTACTAGGACGGTAGATTCGCGACTTGTATATTAGTAATGTTATGTCCACTGCAATACTGACTTGTAGGAAATTGGTGATGTCTTGCAGGAGACACCACAGGCCGTCTGCTGGCTGGCCCGCCACCGAGCGCAGGGTGTAGAAGGGCGGCAGAGGCGCCTCGGTACATTGGATCTCCATGGTCGAGTCAGGTGGCGGCGGGGGTGATGCCGGTGGCGGAGAGCACAGCGGATCGCAACCGATCTCTTCACGATCTGTAAAAAATAAAATGATTCCTAAATAGTATGCTAAGTGTACCTGTACCCTTAGTACGAGTTTGAGCACACGAAAACTATCAGTTTTCGTAATTGTTAATTATGTTTCTATGTCCATTTTGGTGAAAAGTAACCAAATATACTTAAAATTTAAGAAGACATAAATGATTTAATGATAGAATTTAAGCACTGTTTATTTGTATTGAAACGAAAACAATAAAATCAGTACCCTTAGTACGAGTGCGAGCTCATGAAAACTATCATAGTTTTCGTAATTGTAAAACTCGTACAAAGGGTACTGGCTAACGGTAGGCCCTATTCTGGCAAACCTAAGATTATGTCATGCTGTTTAAAGAATGAAAAGGAAAAAAAGACTGTTGGCAAATTTAGTTTTAAGAGCGAGATTCATCGTCGTAGTTTTAAAGTTTAGAGAGTGATGCCAAAATCAGGCCCATTCAACCCTTTTTACCCGACTGCGCAATGCGCAGACAGGGTATGTGCTATAGTGTTTATTCAAAGGATTTATTCTTCGTTGGACTTACGTAGTATTTATTCACATCCTAGGTACTAATCCTACTAATATTAAACGTTAAAGTTTGTATGTTTGTTGCTCTCCTACTCTACTAATCACGAAAAAAATACTGAACGAAACTGGGTTTGGATAAATTTTATTATGCATATATGTAGTTTGCGACTTGGATTGAGACTTAGGAAACTTTTTATACCGGAAAATATTAGGTTGCTGTGGGATTTTTTAAAAACTAAAGTCAACGCGGACGGAGTTGCTGGCGGCCGCTAGGTGCTCTATAAATGAAGAGGACAAGAAGGAGTTTGATTTCGAAGTGGTTGGCGCATTCAGACTGTGATCGTGAAAGTTAAGCAAACTTTCGCAATGGTAGCGCGTCATAGATATCCTAAGCTATGTGAACATAATTTATAATCTACAGCTTCTTCGTGCCTGATCCCAAGAAGTGCTGGGTCAAGGCCGGGTCTTTCTATCAATCTATAGAGAAAGTCTGTATCCCAGCAGTGGCGATATTACTAGGCAAATAATGGTAACGCTCAAATTACGTACTTATGAATGTTTACATTATCTACTATATAAAAGATTCTTCTAATGCCACCAACAAAATTAATTATGATGCAATCCAGTCAGATTTTGATTGTTTCTTAATTTCAAATATTTTTGTTATAAACTCATATTGCGATCCAGAATCCGATATCCAATATTCCGTAGGGTGCCTTGTACTTACCAATTATCTCAGCCGGGTGAGGGAATCTCCATGGTTCAGTGGCGTAACCTTGGACGTCAGATATGTGTAGTCGTATCAGTTGAGCAGACGATCCATCAGCCAGTTCTTCTGGAGTTTGTCCAGCATAAGTGACAAGTAAAGGGTCGGCACCATACGCCAACAAAAGTCTTATAATTTCCACATGGCTATTTTCAGAAGCTTCGTGAAGAGGTCTGAAAAAGGAAATGAATTGTTAATTAACCTGATAAGTGAAGTATACCTGGTGTACTTGGGCTAAAACTAAGTAATATATATTTCTTTTTAATACGCATAACAATAACTAAAGCATAGAAAGACTTAATGTTCACCATGTTTAAGTTATTCTACAGACAAACAATTTAGGGTTTGTTTTTTAAAACAAAGTTCCGTGAATTTCTGGACTCTCCCGAGAAGCTTAAGCGTTGTTTGATTAATTAATTAATTTTCATTTAAAAGAAGTTCTTTTTGTTCGGCTAAAGTACGTAAAGAAAGGCCCGCCACAAGGGTAGGTAGGTATCTTGAAGATAGCCCGGACCTTATAAAACTATAGAATATAATAGCTTCTTTAGTTCTAATAGAAAGTAGTACTTATATTTAGATGGATACATCTCTACTTTCTTCTAATTATGCTCAGAATAAAAGGTAGAATCTTTTCGTTTAGGAGAATTCACGTTCAAACGTTATAGCATTGCTTCTATGCTTTAGTAATTATTCTAATTATTTCTAGAAAAAATACTTAATATCTACATTTGACTTTTTTTTCTAAAAATAATTCATCACGTCCCAGTTACGTACAAAAACTTATGGTTGCGTTTTACGACGTCTATCTTTTTCTCACGTATTGAAGCAACGACGAACAAAAGATTTGAGGAGCATGCTGAACCCCATGTCAGAATAGAGTAGATGTCCCAAAATCTTAGTAATAAGAGTAAAAATAAAAATTCGGAGGACATAACTTCGATCTAATTCATACAATTTCAGAAACACACGAATGACCAACCAGTAACCTTATAGTGAGCTAAGTTGCCGTGCCTTCTAAGAACATTTTTTTTTATTCAGAAGGAATATTCGTAGTCTTTCTTACCGTATTCCTCCTTGTGCAGCCGCGGATACGTTGGCGCCGTATTGAAGTAGAAGTCTAGCTATCCGTACATGACCTTTAGCAGCCGCAACGTGAAGTGGTGTAAATCCTGCGTTATCTTTGGCAGATGGGTCGGCCTCCATTTTCTCCAAACAATATGCAACACAGTCCTAAAAGAAAATTATTATTTAAGATGTAGTTTAACTTTAACTTTTTTGAAATTTATTTAATATGGGTTTTATACTCACTGTGTATCCAAGCCTAGCGGCACGATGTAGATGCGTTTCGCCTATACTTTTGTTGATAAACCAACTTTTGATTTCTTTATGTATGTCATGGATAGACTCTGGGCTTGGTTTCGGCGCTGCGCGTCGGATCTTAGCACTTGGGTTGGTCTCTTCTCTGCGAATTATTTTTTTCTTCTTTCTAATGTAATCAAATCCTGAGCTAAATTTCCTTCTACCAAATAGACGTTTGAGTCGCCTTTTTGTATTGCTTTCTGTAGTTGTTGTAGCATCAGGGGAATTAGTGTCATCTTTAGATTTTTCTTTATCGTCTGAAATTGGACTATTTTCTTTTTTATGTTTGTTATTCGAACAATCTTTCATTCTTTTGTGACATAACGACTTCATTAAGCTATTTCTTTTTTTCAATCGTAGTAACCTTCCCTTAGCGTCATTTCGTTTTAGAGACTTAGTGCTTCTTAGGCCGTCTCTTATTGAACTTGATCTGCGTTTTAACTTATCTTTCAATAGTTTCTTTGATTTGAATTTAGGTTTGACATCAGGTTCAGATTCTTTTTTTACTTCAATTATTTGTTCTTCGTCTGCTTCTGGTTCAGCATTACGATATGATGATGGCGGCGCTGAGGCTGGTCTTTCGTCACCAAAAACTTCTTTTATAGTTGCTCTTTGTTTTAATACTCTACTTTCTGTACGTGTTCTTGATTTTAGAACAACTGGGGCAAACTCTTCCGTAGCTCCAATTAAACCATCAGTGTTTTTGATAAATGCATTCCTAAAAGCTGTTACCGTTTCTTTCCTGAATGCACCTAAATAAAATATATCCTCCATTAACTTTTCTTTCTTTGCGCTCAAACTACCCTTGCTTCCATTTTTTACTAACCCTAAGCTAGGTGTCGGCAATAATTCATTTGGATTTGAGCTTTTGGGTATAACTTTTGGCGTTTTGTCGTCTTTATCTTTAGATTTCTTTTTTGAATCTTCCTTTTTACCACACTTTTGTATAAGAACATCTACAATGGAACTACGCTTCTTTTTCGTTTTAGAGCTAGAAAATACGGTTGACGTGGATGCTTCTGAGTCATAGTGTAACTTATTTGGAGCAGAATAGCTAGAATTAGACTCCAGATCACTATCAAGTGTAAGTTTGTCTGGACGTCTAGCATACAAATCATCTGTAGCTGCTGATGGCGCTGAAGATGGAGCAGGAGATAGTGGAGCCGGATCTAGATCTGGTAGCGAAGTTGAACCCCGTGTAAAGAACGCTCCGGAGCCTTTACAGAAAGGACCGCCAGAACTTCCTCGTGGAATAGCAATAAGCCTAGTTGGCATACGAAGTGATCGCTTATATCGATAAAGTTCTTCTTCCCAACCTGGATGAAAATCTGAGCCATCTCCAAAACCGGGCTTGCGAATGGGTGTGGAACTACTACTTGCCGTATTTTCCTGTTTTTTCGAAGGCAATGACTTTGTGAGAGTTTTAGCTGGACTTTGTTTAGTCTTCTCATCTTCAGTTTTTATGTTTTTACGCTGTCTAAGTCTACTGGCTACACTAAGCTCATCATCATCACTATCTGAACTAATTCCATCGTTTACATTTTCATTTTTGTTGTTATCGATACACACTTTACTTTTTGGTCTTGATGATAATTTAGTTGATTTTCCTTTGATTTGTTTTTCTTCTTTTTCTTTTATGCAAGCTTCGATGGATTTTCTGGTATTTTTATTAACATCTACATCGCAACATTCCAATTTTACATACGCTGATTTCTCTGATAGATCTTTCAACAATTGATATTTCAATTGGTCATTTCGTTCTTTTTCCTTTAGAATTTTACTTTTTATCAATGGTTCATCATCATCGGTAGACTCGGCTTCCTGCTTTATAACTGCTTTTAACGATTCATTTTTATCAATCTCTTTCTTTACTTGTGTAGAAGGAGATAAAGACGATATTTCATTTTTGCCTAGTTTTGATTTTGATTTAATTTTATGTGTTTTTCCAGTGTCCTTACTAGTTTTTTTATCATTCTTCGTAGTGCTTATCACTTGTTTATCTTTCTTCTCCTTATTTTCCGATTTATTTTTTGTTCCTGTATTATTTTTCATATTAAGATCAGGCAAAATATTTATAAGAGGTTCATCTTCCAGTATAGTTTCCTCTTCATCTATTGGTTCTTGTTTTACGACAATTGAAGATACTGGTAAATTTTCAACTGAATTCTCTATTACAGGTTCCACCGGTGTAGGTTGCCGATCCATTTTTTCCTCCTTGGGTTCATTTTCTTGATCATAAATTTCTCTGGGTTTTCTTGTTTTCTTTTTCTGACACCCAACTTTTAATTGTTCCATAAAGCTGTCACAAGCGCTAGCCCAATCTAAATCATCTTTAATAATTTCGTTACCCATGCTGACACTTTCAGAGTCTAAATTTCCAATAATATTTTCCGTCTTTATGGGAATTTCTGCATCTTTTTCAATTTCTTCAATATTCATGGGCTCGGATTTCACTTCTGGAATATTGTCCATTGATTTTTCAGTTTTAATAACGGATTCAAATCTTAAATTATCTTGTCTGATTTGGTTAAACAAATGTTGTTTTTGAGATTTTGGTTGAAGTTTCACTTTGTCACATTCTAATGTTACGTCTTGTTTAATTTCAAGTTTTACATTATTTTCTTCAGAGGGTGGCATTACTTTCAACTCTGCTTTAGTTCGTATTCTTGATGCAACATCATTTTCTGGCGATTTACTTTTAACTTCCAGGTTATCTGATTTGTTACAATCCAAATCGCGAGTTATGGAATCCACAGCTTTAGGCATATGAATGTGACTTGAGAGATTTGGTGTATTATGGTCAGGTTTATAAATATTCTTAACAGGTGTATCTGTGTCCTCTTCAGTTAGATCCTTAGTTAGATCAGTTATTTCTATCACAGAGTCGTCTACGTCATCGATAACAATGAGATCAGGAATCTGACGTGGCGGTCTGGTTGGTTCAATATGCCCCGTTTGTTTTGTTTCCAAACTGTTTCTTAGAATACTTAATATTTTTTTATCTGCCGGAACACCGCTTTGTGGATCTATATGATGTGGATGTACATCTCTATGGCTCGGAAGCTTTTGTATAACATGATGTCTGTTAGATGTGGTCATATTTCTATCATGATATTGAGCACGATAATCGCTTGATTCACGATTTGCTAATTCTGGAGGGTATGGATTATTTGAGTATCTGTGATTGACGTGGGAATGGGGTTCTCGATAAACACTAGATGTACCAGCTGGTCGCTTTTGCTCATTTTGGTAAGCCTCAAATTGCTTATAGCTATATACTGGACGACTAATTAGTTCATGCTGTTCTCTTGCTATTTGACTCATTCGTTCTATCCGGCTATCTGAAGTCCAAGTTTCATAACGAACTATTTTATCAGGGATGTTGTTAACTATTGGACCGGCCAGCCTTTTTCTTTCATCTATATAAGACCTTTCATCACGTCTGCTATCATGCCGTTGGTCATTGGCCGATCTCGTAAGGTCAATTCTAGGAACATAGTCGTTTCTACCAGAACTACTGCTATATTTGTTTCTTTCAGGATATGTATGATTTTGCGGTTCCGTTGGGTATAAATCAGAAGTAGGTCTTCTCGTCCATGACCCGTTATAACGAATCGGATGGCCACTTTGTGCCGCAACATTAATACTTGGATGATGATTATTTCTTTCTCTATACTGAGTAAAATTTGGTGCAAAATCTACTTTATGTGATGAAACATAACTCGCTCCTGCAGCCACATTTTGTTGGATGCTTCCGGAAGGAATTCTAGCTGGTAATGATAACGTTTTATGGTCTGTTGAAGCTGAATCAATCATATCATCCTGGGTTGTCGAGGAATCTGCTGAATTTTTCACAGTTTTAACTGATAAATCGAGCGGTGATTCTCGTTTTTGTTTTGGTTGATTCACTTGGCTGACGTTCGGTGTAGCTTGGCTTGCTACTGGAGTATTTTGTTTTTGTTTCGTTTCATTCAATTGATTCACAAGTGTGGTAACAGATACTGTCAAACGAGCTTGTTGATTAGGATATCCCGATTTAAGTGTCGAACGGGCTGGTGATGTTTGGACGGAATTTGACGCAGAATATTCATAACTTGGTTTTGGCGCCGCTCCAGCTCTATAAGCTGGTTTAGACTGAATATTTGGGTTTTGAGCGACAGGAACTTGTGCATTTGTCCCATACCGTGATGTAGAAGTTGATGGTGTAGGATAGTGGTAGGAACTTCTGCTATCAACAGCTCTGCTCATATTAGTATATTCTACACGAGATGGTAAGCGCGCAGAATCATGCTGATGCAATGAAGGCGGAGCAGGTGCTCGTTCCGGTGGCCTAGTTGAGTAATGCGAATTCATCACATCGATAGCAGCATGCTTGTATGGAGTAGGCTGATGCGTCTCTACTCGATGACTTTGAGCGGGTTGGGTGGCTGACGGTGTTGGTCTATAGCCCGGATAGGCGTGCTGAGGATCATATTTTCTTGTAGGCACAGCGGGATGCCTCTCATAATGCGCACTTACACGGCCGTAAGGCGATGGCTCGCGCCTCTGTTGTAAAGACGAATAAGTCTGTGATGTTCGAACATCTAATCTTTGCGGAGGCGGCACTACTTGTGGGTGGTGAATAGGTGGCACGCGATCATTGTGCGGAGGCGGAGGCTGCGAAGCCGACATGACGTAACGTTGAGCAGGTGGGCTCTGAGTGGCTGATTCGCGCAGTCTCGAGGTTGAATGTTGCGGTACTGAACTTGATAGCCTAGCATACGTCTGAGGGCTATGACGCACTGACACTGCTGGCTGCGGGGAGGGTACTGGCGGCCCATGTGAGTTTCTGCCTACGTCCGACATACTCGATTCATAATGATACCGCGCATACACTTCAGGTGGCCTAGCTGTGGAATATGGGTCTGGAGGGCGTCCAGTAGTGTAATGATCCGGCGGCCTCGCTGTAGGAGTTGGCACGCGATGAGTAGGCGTACGATACGGTGCAGAAACCTCCAGTTGATGCTCCGAAGTCGGTGGTGGTTGTAGAGGAGCTGTAGACAACGGTCTCGCTGGTGAAGGACAAGGGACGGCAGGCGCAGGCGCTGGTGACGGAAGCGTACGCGAAGGTTTACGTATAATATGTGAGGGGGGTGAAAGAGTCTCCATCGACTCTTCTTCGTCTTCGACTTCAGGAAGTTCTCGTCGCTTTTCAGCAGCTTCTCGCATGACCGTAGCCTTATGAATTATGTGTGGTTCAGGCTCGAGAGGCTCAGACGGAGGCCTGGGCGGGATGGCTACTGCCATCGTAGTGGCGGGAGTGGTGGGCGGCGCGGCGGCGGCGGAAGGAGGGCGCGACGTCGGCGCAGGAGCACCCGATTGAGCCGGTGCTCCTTCTTCAGTGGGCTGTCCACCTGAAGGCCACACCTGTTGTCCTGAGCCCTCTGCCTGGGCTTGTTTAGGTAGTCCCATAAAATATTGACGCGTCCCTTCCAATACATTGTTGAAAGTGACATCCATAATATAACTTCCGCCTGCAGTCTACGTTCTGAAAGAAAATAAATAACAGTTTGTTAAACTCCAGAATAATACAAACGTTTATAATCCAGTACCTACTTAACTTCTATTTAAGAAACAGGCGATAAATTTACTGAACACGATAGCTTTTAGAATACCTTTCTTTTGCTTATAAATAGTGTAGTATGGGGTTCACGGTTTTCGAAGGTGCGTGGTGGGGTCGTTACCCGGCGGCTGCCCTTGAGCGTGCTTCGCCCCCAACACACACACACGTGCAGACCGCGCGCGCATATCACGCACACCAAAGGAAAACTTCCGCGTCACACAATACAAATATTCGTAACTGCGAAAAAGTTTGTTGACCTTCGTTTGAATGAACGTATTTTGAATACATACTTGTCTCATTTCTTTGATGATAAATAACAACAAAGTGATTATGATTAAATTCTGAGTAATGACAAGACGAGTGACGAAATCTAATTAAGTCCATCTGCAACCACTTCAATTAACATTCGAGACAACTATGTAAAACAGTATTTTATGTTAAAAATGTTTTTAATAATCTACAGACAAAATAAAAGTGATTAGAAATTAAGTTAAACGGAGAGAATGAACGATGCAATAATTTAATTCTTGACGTTTTGGACCCTCTTCAGAGAGTTTTAAAGAAGCTTTCTACCCGCTAAAAAGTATTTTATTAAATGATAATTCATGTGCCAGGAATATAAAAAACAGGCGTTAATCCAAGATGTTGTTCAATCCGGTTTTAATATATTTCTTTTGCTGAAAATAAAATATTAACAATTTAAAAAGCATTGTCGATTGGAAGACACTAATGAAACAGTAACTTTGATATATACGATACGATATCTTCCCGGCGGCTATTTGTATCATCATTAGTTTGACCTTCATACCGATCACTGATTATACAATCACACGAGTTATCTCTCGCTCCTCACTCGTTTAATAGTTGTACTTGTAACTAGGAAGTATTCACTTAGGACAATAAAATATGTACTGCTTCATTATGTAGCTCATATTTATTGTATTGTAGTGTACTGTGTAACCTGTTTCAAACCGCAACCGTTTGATATCAGAATAAACAAATAGGTACCTACCTACTATCAAACAAATTGATTCCTGACGCGCCTGACCCTAACAATATTATAAACTCTGACCCACCTGCCCGATAATTCGTTCGAAGTTTACAAAACAGCTAAGTTTTCTTATAAATAGAATGCATGATTGCACTAAGGACCTTTTAATCAGAAGGAAGAAATAAGTTCAAGAATTCTGACCTTTTGTTATCGACTCACTAGATTATTTTAAGATATACCTAGTTAATTTAAATTTTACTTTGAATTTAAAAAGAAGTTTTAAACTATCTGCGAGTAATACAATTCAACTTTCGATTTCTTGATATTAAGAAAACTGGTAAAATATGGACGAATTCCTGTAATTTATGTGTGATATCTCTCCAAATATTAAGGAATTTATATACCTAACCGTAACGAGTAAAATGAATTCTTTGACAGCAATATGTCAAGTATGTCGATCAAGTAAATTATTTATGATTGTTTAGAAAATGACAAGTTCGCTTCAAGGGACACATCCATTCAAGCGAACTTCTGCGTTATTGTATTGGAATATTTGAAGTGGGATTTCCAAAGAAATACAGCAAGGATAAAGAGGCGTGAAGAAGTTCTTAAAGGGTCGGCAACGTACGTGTGACACTTTTTTGTGTTATTGTTTATTAAAGACATACAAGAGTGACAAAGAACAGAGTCTTCGGTCAATATGAAACCTAAAAATCTATACACTTTAAGTTTATAACAGAGTTTGTAGTTTAAATAATGCCTTATATTGTTTTTGGCTACGCGATCATCCCACGGAGTTCTTTGGATCGTCTAATGTACCTTTTGGACAGGTTTCGGTCACGATTTTGTTCGTGATGTTGTATCTAGGGTTTTTAATATCGTTGGCGTTTGTATGTAGCCCCCTTACTGTAAGATTTATATGCTGTGCCAACGATGACAGACTACCATCAGTTAGACCGTGTGCTTGCCTACCTTTTATGTATATAAACAAACAACTAATTCAAAGGATCGTGTAAAGCCAGTTTCAGCTTAGTTTTGAAGCCATTTCATTGTCTTAAATATTCTAGCCGCGCATTTTGGTACTAACTTCTAATTTGTTTTAGTTGGTTAATATTTTTTTCAATCAAATTTCTATCAATCTTCCTTGTTGTCGCAACGTTGTTAAATAACATAAAACGCATGAATATAATGAGCGTATTTATATATCGCCATTAACGGAAATGCTAAGGATAGTAAAGGCCTTATTGTAAGAGTATGTTGACTTTGTCTTGCGATGGCAAACCGAACTCAACTAACCATGACACCAGCAATATAACCACGCAGAAGTTGTTAAATGTCTCTCTTTTTTTAAAGAAATCGCATGGTACGCTCCCGTGCGCCGCAATATGTAATTACGCTACACTTGTGCGGATTCCGTTACGAGAGCAGCCCGTTGCTTGGTCGACCGTCGCGGTCGCGTCGTAGAAAATTTACTGAGCGTTGTAATCTATACATAATTATAAAATAATATGGTAGGAAAGTCAAAACTGTCCATTGAATATTTTTTTTAAATAATGCTTGGGGTGTGATCTACATTCGATACCGAAGCCAAAAATATAGTTTTTAGAATTTTTGTCTGTTTGTCTGTATCTATGTCCGGGATAAACTCAAAAAGTACTGCATGGATTTACTTTAAAGAGGTCGGGTCAGCATATAGGCTACAAATTATCACGCTATCACCTACGGGCACGGAGCACCCCCACTAGAGTCCGCATACAAGGGCAAGCGCTTTCGCCAAGCTTAAGTAGTATTTTACCTATGCGTGAGGCACGCCTACAGACGTCGCGATACATCGTTTCATTCGGTAACCGAGCGTTGATCGAACTGCTTCTCTCGTTTTCGTGTTAAAAAACTGTAAAAAATGCCGTACTGTGCAATTAAATTGTGTGGAAAGTCGAGTACAACTTCCAGTCTTCAAAAAAATGGTATTACTTTTCACTGGTTAGTTTAAATGCATTACAAAAAGACAAAAATACTGTTATATTAAATTGCTGTTAATTGTATTTATTTATTGGTGAACGCGTTGATGTCTTTTTATACTATCCCTTTCTCGCATGGGCTACATCATATATGCTATCTCGCTCTCACACCGGCACGTGTATTGCTAGTGACTCAGACGCAGCTCATGCCTAAACGTGTAAGTTTATCGATAAGTTTGTCAGCTATGGAAATGGAAAAAATAAATAAAAACTATTTATTTCATCGTATACAATAATAGATGTCATAAGTATACAACCAACAGTTTTTATTTGACTTCAAACATATCCTAATAAAATTGAAAAAACGCATACGCAACGAAATTTGTATGTATATTTGTTACTCTTTCACGCTAAAACGGTTAAACGGGTTTGTATGAAATTAAGTGCGCATAGTTTATGACCTAGATAAAGACATAGAATTAACGATATTAAATACCCTAGATACACCACGAGCGCTCAAAATGTGTCCCAATCAAGAAGTGCTTGAACTCCACTCAAGCACTTCTTAGTACACAGTCACACGCGGACCGTTGAAAAGTCAAGATGCCAAAGAGTTCCGTGAAAAAATGCAGAAATATACTAATAGTACGTAAAGTGTCGTTTTTTCGACGGGTATCTAATTAATGTTTTTTAATTAACGCCTTTAAAGCAAATTTTATTGTTGTAATACTTACTATAAACTGATTTAATTTAAAATATTTGTGATATTCAAATGCATGGTCGGTTATACGTCGCCCTTAGCCATCTCTTTTCTTCGCGGTCTGTACTTGCTATATTGCTAACAGCGTATTCAGAATTGCGAGTGAAAAGTCAAAAAAAATAAGGTCTATATTCTTTCACATATATAACAATAAATCGTATAATTTTACGAACGTGACGCATGCATTTTAATTAAGACCTTATGCCGTATGCATTAAAGGTGACTTTCAATGTTTAAATAAGGCATTATATTGTTTTTGACCACGCGATCATCTTACGGACCTCCGTGGATCGTCCAATGTACCTTTTGGACACGTTTCGGCCACGATTTTGTTCGTTTTGTTGTATCTAGGGTAGTTAATATCGTTGCATTAATACTTCTTGTCCTGGACGTGTTTTTTTTTGTGTTGCTTATATATAAATTAGTATGTAGTTACTAGTCGCGTCATGTAATTAGAACGTTGGAAGAAAGTGGAGAGGGTATGATTACGCATTTGCGCACCAAAGTGCTAGGCCTCTATTCTAAATTGTTTATCGTTAGAAAATATCGATATTTTCTAAAATCGATCTTACCCTCATCACTTCGCTGCACTGAGTATATGATCTGACCTTGACGCGTCCAATCACAGCGGGGCTGACCTCCCTGCACCCTACCGACTTTAGCGATTTTGATTCCAAACAAAATTTGTGTGATGCGGACTCTAGTGGGGGTGCTCCATGCCTACGGGGAACGAGCAGAGAACCTTTATTTCTAACAAACTCCACGAGTACGAAATCGAGGGCGGTCGCTAGTTTGTAATACAAGTACTGCGTCACGTTAAGAAAAAGTTAAAACGACATAGTACTGAGCCCCGTGAGTCATGCGTTATTGTTTTGTAGCAATGAAACTATACTCATATTTTAAAGAGGTAATCTCTGGATCTCCTGAACCGATTTTGAAAACTCTTTTACCAATAGAACGCCCCGTTATTTGTGAGTATCAAAGGTATTATATTAGCCCAAAAAATGAAAATACTTTTTCGTGGTAGTCCGTCGGATTTACGAAGTAAGTCGGAGAAAAGACGGTTGTACGAAATATGTTTAGGAGCGCTGTCTTAACGATGGGAGATATAATAAATATGGAGTTCTAGAAATAAGTAATAGATCTTGATAATTTCTACAAAAAAGTCAGTCATATGTGTAACTTATATAGGGTTTTAGGTCACAAAATAGTAGTTATTTATAACAAAAAAATGTTAGGTCAAGTTTATTGGTCATACTATCAACAATTATGAATTCCTATCAAAATAAATGAATTTATCGTATCGTGTGTTTGAAACAAGACATTTCCCTTTTATTGCATATAACTTAGATGAATGGATAAAGGGATACGAATAGGTATGGAACCGCGTCCGCCCGGTCGACTCCTAAAGCAAAGCGAGGTCGGGTCGCTCGTAATTGATAAAAAGATTAATTTCCGCAGTTTGTAGGTACCTAGTAACTACGGTTACTGAGAGTCTCTGAAGAAGAAAATACTGCGAATGAAAGTAGAAGTCCCTAGAACCATAGAAATAAAATTATTAAAAACCCCTAGACCTGGGATTTCCCTAAAGAACCACATCTTCATATTAAAAACAAATTCACGTTGTAAAAGCTAATTTCCGCAGTTTGTAGATACCTAGTAACTACGGTAACTGAGAGTCTGTGAAGAAGAAAATACTGCGAATGAAAGTAGAAGTCCCTAGAACCATAGAAACTATAAAAAAGACCATAGACCTTGGACTTCACTAAAGAATCACATCTTTATATTAAAAAACAAATTCATGGTTTGGTGTTGTAAGATGATTTGCAGACAAAATAAACATTCTTTGGCCGATTAATCGTCTACTACATCAAATTTGGGAGCCGGTTTTCCCTGACTTGAGTTTCACGGTCACTCCAAGTAATTATGAATAAATTATATTAAAAACATCTAGAACTTGATAGCACAATGTAATTTGTATACATTTAGTTAAAAAAAACTTACTTTTAAATCTAAGAAAAAATTTAACTAGAAAATTTTCCACGTGGCCAGGCAGCGGACGGGACTCGAACCCGTACCCTCTGCGGGCGGATGCACTGACCAATTATGCTATTGCTATGTCTTAATAGCCATGTCGAATTACTTCTAGTATTTCTAAGGCTGCAAGCAGCGCCATTTCTCTGCATTGTAGGTAACCCACAATATAGATTTAAACATCTAAAAATAGCAGTTAAATGTTTAGAAACAAAAATATAACTCACTTTGATTTCGGCTATCCTGCTTGGTGCGAGTGACAGCCTCTATTTGCGTTCATGACTTCGGCTTTTCTTTCCGGATTTCCTGAAAAGATAAGTTTAACATGAAATATATTCGTTCGTTCGTTTGTTCGTTCAAAAGACATAGTATGGTATTCCTATCAAGTCTTAATTATTTTCAACAAAACATATACTGCTATTTCAAGGTATGAAATTTGAATCTAAATAAATCTTATCGTTAATTTTATTTAAACGTGAGTGCAATTATAGCATAATTTCTAAATTTATTTGCAATCGCAAGAGCGCTCAACGAAAATGCATAAGTAAAAACAAAATAATCAAAAAGTTCATTCTGTAACCCTAGCATGAACTTTGCAGATGCGTATTCGTAAAGCCTTCGTCAAAATTTCTATAGAAACTTTAACGATGGCGATACAAATACGAATCTGACAAAGTTCGTGCTCGGCATACTGTTGTAGGAGTTTTGTTGTACAACTCTGTAACAAGCAAATAACGATATCGAACAGTAACTAGGCACATTGTGTGTGTGGACATTGACCCAGATACAAAATACATTGACAAACGATTCAGTAAATAATGCGAATTGACTTGTAAATGGTGTTCGGTGAATAAAAAGTATGTTCGCGTAGGTACGTTGTTCCAAACAATTCAATCCAATGGTTTTTCTCTGACGCACGCAGGTTCTATGATGTATGCCTTCGGCAAAGGCAGTATTTTAATTTTAAGCTGCTTCGTCATTTAACTTATGCTGTGAAGTTGAAAAAGTGCCTTAGTCATACTACTTAATTAATACTATATACCTATACTATCTAGAACTCAATATTGATAGTTCAGAGAACTTAGTCTTAAAATAGTTATTGGACGACCAATCGAAAAATAATCGCCTAACACAGCAATGGGTCCAGTGTAGAATCGACCAAGTGCGAATTGGCCCAGCCAGTGCGGATTAGGCCCAGGGCGGATTTGACCCAGTGTGGGTGGACTATCCATCTAAATATTGCCCTATTACATTTAAAAAAAATCCTACCCAACTTTTCACACTGGGGCCGCGTGGTAGGTCATTGCCCGATCCCCCGATTCCATCAAACCAATATAAAAATCTTTAATTTAAACCAAATCCCCAGCCACCGCCATCAGTGGTTCCCACCTAGTTGCCCATCTTGATACCTACTCAGGTGCCTATAGCTTGGTTGTGACGAAAAAATCATATAATTTTTCACCAAGCCCTCGGCCACCATTCCGTCAGAAAAGAACTTTGTTCTAAAAAGTCACCACCAAATTAGGAATGTAAACACAAAACAATTTTGAAGAAAAAACTTTATTTTATATGTTACCGCAGAGAGAAAATGTTGTGCCCGTGATTGGAGCATATAAATATTTGTATTTATACCATGGTTGTGCCAGAACTTGAGCCATAAATTGTCCTTTGTTTTTACAACTAGTCTTCTATATCAGTTATCTTTGAGTTGTTTAGTTGGAGAATAACTTTCGGAGAAATGAAAGGAAATAAGAAGAGAAACAGCAACGGAATAAAGTAATAATTAACGACTACGGAAGTTCTTAATTCATTACTTTACGAATTATTTTATATGTATATTGCAATTAATAGGTACAGTAAAGTGTAACAAATTACACAACTGGCTGCTTCGCCGGTGCATATTACATAACAGTATTAAAAGATGACAAACCACCTATGCCATTTGCTTAGTATGCATACATGAATAAGCAAGAAATAATCTTTTGAGGGAAATCTGTTTTTCTTTGGCAGAGCAGAGCAGCAGGCCGTCCAGGGGCCCAATTCTCGTCTCCTTCGAATAAATCTCGAAATAGAAATTATTGTTCTAACTCTTACTCAACCAGAAAACTTCAAAGTAGAAGTCGATTTCTCGATTGATGTATTCTCATCACTAATAGAGATAAACTTCGAACAAATTACTATTCGAATAAGTTCAAGGGTCGCATAGAGTTCTGCGTTCTAAACCTTCGTTCAGAGTGCAACTTTTCACTCTGACATTTAAATTTTGAATTAAGTTTCTAAAATTTTATATCAAAAAATTAATAATGTTCTACAACTTACAAAAAACAGTGATTCCGAAGTGTACGTTCTTTATGGAAACAAAATTGTACATTTTTATGAATCATTAAAGTTGTTTCGGAAATAATAAGACGATTTCACTTTAGAAAAGAATATACTGAAAAGAATATAGAAAATCAACGTTTCGTTAACTTGTTGAGTCTGAAATGTTTTTAAATTCAGTGTTTCGCAAATCAAACGGATCCACTACATCGGTAAGATTGTTAAAATAATTGACGAGGAACCCCTGTCGTAGAAATTCCTGCTTCTTGTAATATATTTTGCATGAAGTCAATGACATTTTTCAGTCATAATAAATATCGGCTTTAATAAGAAAATAAATATTTAAATATTATTTGCAATGTTTGATATGTCGAAAGCAATATGTTACGTATGTCTCGAACGGTTCCGACCACTTCAAGCAGTTCGCGCGGTTTATACATTTTCGGAAAATGTCGAATTCGAAATTATCCCCCTTATTAATAAACAAGTAATATGCTTAGACTAGTTTCGCCGTGTTTTGTTCATTTCACTCAAATGCCATTTGTCATTCAATAAACAGAGACAAAACATGGTGTAACTAATCCAAGCGTAGTCTTCGTGTATTAATAAGGGGTTTAGAGAATAGCACTACATATTTAATTTTTACCCGAAATAAAATTAAACGAACTTTTTTCGAATTCGTAATTCATTCGAGTGCATGTGAATTGCCCCCCTGTCCCACACTGCAATGAGTTGAGTATGACGTGAAAACGTCACGCACACTAGCGCAGGCACAGCTGCACGGGTCAATGCCCCCGCGGCTCAAGCGAAACAAGGTGAATCGTAAGTCCACAATAGTTTTTGTCTCCGTTACTTATTGCTATGCAATGTGACCCTATCGTGCTATTTTACTTAATGAAACAATAAGAAAAGATACTATTTGAAGACAAGCGATGGAGACGTTATGATTTTCTTAAATTTGAAGGTTACGTTATATAAGGCCCACTTGCAGCTCTCGATTAAAATCTTAAATGTCGATTCAACTAAAAGAAGCTTTAACCCACAGAAATTTTTCAAAACGTTAATTTCAATTTGACATTCTTGTATGGGCCATCTAGTTTTAGTTAAATTGAGATTTAGCAAAATTGCTGTTGGTGAACCGTAGATCCTGCAGTGCTACTCTATAAAATTTTTTTTGCTACGCTGAAACGACTGCCTATTTTTTTATTGAAAGATTTCGTGATTGTAATGATTTTCCAAACGAGAACTCAAATAATATATTTCATTAATAAATAAAACACCTGATTAAATTTTAATAATAAATAAGGTTTCAAATTACTATATGTCGATCCAAAAAAGGGCAGTACATTATTTTGTTCACTTATCATATTTTTATAAAAAACCAGCAGCTACTAACCAAACTACTAACTAATTAACTGAATGCTAGTGTCACAAAAGTATGTGTAACTTTATTTGTATGAATGTATAATCTACGCAGTAATTTAAACTTTACTATTAAACTACCTATAATATGTACATGCATCGTTCAATCAACCGTGTTCATTCCAATACAGCTCACAATAGAGTAACTGTTATTAAAATCTTTAAGCACCAATCTCCCGAATATTCGGCCGAATACGAACGTTCGGTAAATCTGCCGAATATGAAACGAGAATATTCGCTCCAATAATGCGTATCCGCATCCGCGTATGTAAAAAAAATATGCATTCGCAACAACCCTGTTCCAAACTACATAATAAAAGTACGCAAGATCTATCTTAGTATTTGTTCTTTGCTTGGAGCAACATTTTATTGATATTGTATGTTAATAAAATTGGTTAGCACAGAAGACTCCTTGGAAATCCGGCGACCTTTTTCTACATGCCCACGCACAGGACGTCGCGTGTCGCGTGAGCACAAGGTAATAAGTACTTAAACTCCAGTTAGCCAGAATTATTGTTTTGTTATTGAATTTCCTTCTTACACTTGGGTGATTCATCCATAGGTACCAAGTTCAATTAACTATGTAATATAATAATAAAACAACACCAGTAATTAATTATAAAAGGTATTTAAACTACCAAGAAGGAAATACGATACTATAATAGATACGTGAATGATTCATTGCTATTGTGTAATATGCTACTTTTACTATTTGCTTGCACTTGTTTGCATAAAAATAACTACAAAAAAGAAAAGGTTATTACATATTTTGATTATGATTATATCATATATATTTTTAACGGGACAAGTGTCAAATTATATCATAAAACGAACTATACCTAAGTATCAATACCTGAATTCCATTCCTACTGCGTAAGTCCTTAAGGTTGGTCCAACTTAAGGTTTTACTTTTAATACAGAATTTTCTTAATCCAACAATAATATTGATTCTGGTCAAGAAGTTTTTATTATTTCTACACTAGACGACGGCATTAAAAGGCAAATTTTGCATTTTAGAATTACTCACCTAAGCATTTTGTTGCTAACTAAGCTGACAATATTTAATGTTTGTATCTGCTTTATTCAATCACGCTGAAGCAGTTAAACTGATTTGGTCGAACATTTAGCACGCATGAAAACATCAACTTTCAACTTTTGACAGGTTCTCTCTAGGGAAAAAAAAATTGAAGTCCACACGCAAACGTGGTTGCGAGCAAATGTTACTCGTAATGTTAAATTTTCATTTTCTTTTTATAAAACGTCCTATTATGTTAATATGGCGGCTACCACCATCCGAGCCAATACACAGACAGGGCAGGGATACAGTACAACACCGTCACATCCTACACCGTGCTATGGGGAAAACGAATTCATGTCGCCACACCCTCTCCCCTTAGGATATTGACACAAATCGTGCCCGTTAACCTTATTAATTGATTTTCACACAAACAGCTTTTACGCCGTGTCCCTGCAGAGCATCAAAAGGCGCGTGAGTTCATTCAACTCCACATTTTGATTAGGTCTAAGCTAAGCAGATTGTTTTTAAATATTTATATACTTTGGTA